AAAATGTAGAACTTGTCGTGGGAGACGCGCTCGAGACGTAAATCCATGCCATTGCCTTTCAAAGTTTACAGCAGCGGTCTAATTAAGAATATAGTCTCCCAGCTCTTGTTCCCACTGAGCCATACGATATGATCTTCATTGATGCTCAGAAACGAGGATACCCAAAGTATCTGGAGACTATTCTTAAGTGCTCTCAACCTGGCTCACAGAACCGTCTGCTTCGCCCTGGTGGACTGATAATCGGCGACAATACCCTCAGATGTGGCTTTGTGGCCGACGATAGCGAAGATAACCCCTGGCGTCAGCATAACTGGGGTGAACATCGCAGAGAATACTGGAAGTCGGAAGATATTATTTCCCTACGGGCATATAACGACGCCATCGTGAAGTCAGACCGCCTGGAAAATTGGCTCTGCCCGCTATGGGATGGTGTAAACATCACTCGACTGCTTGATTAGATACCATTATCGTATGGATCCTTATCAATAACTATTGTCGCGTAACTACTTTCTGAATAATTCATGGCAATTGGTTCTCGCATTACTTTACACGTTATGGTATGCTAGGAGTCATTTAAAATGAGATAAATTTGCTACCAGTTGAAGTATGAGCACGATTAAAAATGTACCTATGTAAAGCATCCCCATCCCAATTGACATGAATGTAAGACGAAAACCACCTATTATCCCTTCCCAGTAAGGAACCCTAAAGAACCGTAGCATGCAGAATCATCAATGACTGAACCAGTGCCGGATGGGCTGAAAATTATCAAAACAAGAAAAAAGAAAAAAAGAAAAAAGAGAAGAAAAGAAGAAAGGAAAAGAGCTTGAAGAAGACGATCGAATTGGAACATCAGGAGGAATTACTTGGAATGAAAGCAAGTTACACCAGGAAGATGCAGAAAGGGAGTTGGCAGGATGAGTCGTGTTTTGAAAATATCGTTTCTTTCAACAGTCCAGGCCCGTAGCAATGATGGAAGGGGAAAAAAAATCAAGAAGACAGAGGGAAGGGGATATCATAAAGTAAACGTCACAGGGGAAGGGTTCAAATAAAGAGTAAAAGAGAAGCCCCGATTGATATCCAGGCGACAACACCAGGAAGCTGCAAGATAACGCCAACCTTGGCTGAAAAAAAAAGAAGAAACAAGAGAAACCGTATAAACAACGTAGAGTACATGTTATTACTATTCATGACATATTGTTCCGCTGCTGCTGCTGCTGCTGTTGTTGTTGCTGCTGTTGCTGCTGTTGCTGTTGGAAAGCATGGGCCCTGGCGATAGCCATCTGGGTGGCGGCACGGTTTTTACCAGACTCGGCATCCCTTCGCATGATATCATTGACATGGTTTTGAGCAATTTTTCCCAGTCCATTTACGTACTGCATCTTGATATTGGGTGGGTAATTTGAAGGCGGGCCGTACTGAGGCATGACCCTCTGGGCCATCTCGGACTGCAGACGAGCAAGATGATATTCGTACAGCTGCTTGTACTGGAGGCTGACAGCCATCTTTTGACGGTTCTGTCCGTTGGCGGCGGCGGCAGCAGCAGCCATAATCTGCTGCTGTGTCATTTGGGGTAATGGTCGTTGCTGACCTTGTTGGGCAGCTTGCATCTGAGCTAGCTGCGCTTGGATAAGGCTAGATTGGTACGAATTTTGCATTTGGGCGCCCGGATGTCCTGGTTGCTGCTGTTGCTGCTGCTGCCCTGGCATCATTTGCTGATGCATTCCTTGCTGTGCAAGAGTGTTCGCCTGGAATTGAGACATCTGTTGCTGTGCCATCTGTTGGTTATTGAGATTACGTTGCGCTGCAAGTGCATTTTGCCGTTGCTGTATCATTTGAGGTGTCATCATTGTCCCATTCATAGGCGGGTTGACCATTGCCTGGGTCATAGCGGGCGTTTGGGCCATCGTAGAAACATCGGGGCTAGGGTGAGCCATTCGCTGAGTTGGGGTAATATTCCGCATTATCGGAGTTCCGTGCATCACAGGAGTTCCATGCGTCATCTGAGGCGTGCCATGGGCGCTATGACTCTGTTGGCTACGAGTGGTAGCCATAGGATGGCCCATGGGAGCCGGATGGCCATGTTGCATGCCAGAGGAGACTGCCATGGGACTTCCTGCACCTTGTGCAGAGCTGGTCATTGCCATTGGCACGCCTTGATTCATAACATGAGGCGAAGGTGCATGGGGAGTGAGGTTTCGAACGATTGGTGAAGAGTGGGGAGCTTGTGAAGCAGATATGATATGCTGTTGTTGGAGTGTGACTGGGATACCTGAATTCCCTTGCGAAGTTGGCCGCATATTATGAGATGCAAGGAGTTGAGACTGGGCTTGTGCCTGAGCCTGAGCCTGAGCCTGAGCTTGTGCATGGGCATGAGCTTGTGCCTGAGCCTGCGCCTGGGCTTGAGCTTGCGCCTGGGCTTGGGCTTGAGCCTGTGCTTGAGCCTGGGCTTGTGCTTGCGCCTGAGCCTGCGCCTGGGCTTGAGCTTGCGCCTGGGCTTGGGCTTGTGACTGAGCAGCCTGTTGGGCATAGAGTTGCCGACGGGCATCATCTTGCGATTGGCTTTCTGCTTGACGCTGTTCAAACTGTCGACGCTTCTCCCGTTCAGCTTCCTGTTGTTGCCTCTTTGCGTGATCTTGTTGTAGCTTCCGCTCGTGCTCTCTTCTGGCCCTTTCCTCGTGCTGACTGCGGATATTTTCGAGGGTTTTGAATCTAGAGAACCGGGGTTCAAATGGAACAGCACCTCCATCCCCGTCGACCACGGCCGATTTTGCAGCATTTGCGCCTGCTGAGATTGCCGGTTCAAGTCGTTCATCCATGATAAGCATAAATCGCTCCTCGGCAGCAGCCAGAGCTTCATCAGCCGCAAGCTCAGCAACAGTACGTCTTCTAGTCTTTGGTGAAGGTGGTTTATGACAATGCAAGGGCGATTCCAGAAGTTTGAGCAGCCGCTGACTAGCCTCTAAGCTGTCAACAGGTTCAAGATATAATGGAGGAGCAGTAGCAAGGATCAATTTTGCCTCAACTTCTGGAATTTCGTGCGGCTCAACAAGCATCTTCTGGCGCTTTGCTGGGTGTCCGCGCTCCAAGGGAGGAGCAGTAGCAGATAGTGGAGTGGATGGCTGAGCAAGAGAGGTAGAGTTCGAAGTGCGAGAACCATTGAGACCTTGAGATTGGCGACGTTGGGGGGATCTGGGGTCGGGAATCATAGATAATATAGTGAGTTCGGCTTGTAGCGAACGCGGAGTAGGATGCAAGACCGTGGTGAAAACCTTAGGTCCGGTAGCTTTGCTGTTCGTAGATTCTTCGGTAAGAGGTTGCTTCCCTTTGAATTTGCTGGAGTCCAAAGCGTCGGTTGATTCTGAAGATGCAGACGGCTGCACAGCCTGACCAGTTGTGGTAGGTTGAGTAGTTGTGGCATTGGAACTGGTCTGACTCTGTTTGGGGTACGGGACATAGGAAGAGGGCGTCATGTGTTCATTGTAGTTATGGATGGAAAATGGGATAAGTTTCTGCCCGGATGAATCTTTTGTGACAGGAGCAGGGTCAGCCGAAGGAGACCTATGGTCAATCACTCGGACGATTAAGCACCCTATATTAACATGTTAGTTCAAAATATGCTAATGCGCCATATATCTAGGACTTGCCTTCATAAAACCGCACATTCCCCATGATGAGCTCCTCCATCATGTCATGGGGTACTGTGCCATCCTTAAGATGTTCAATGACCACTTTCATTTCCGAGTTATAAGGAAAGCTACCATCCTGCTTATCGAATCGAAAATGAGTTGGGTGAAGGTGAATGGTCAAAGAAGGCGGGAACTTTGCATATTTCTTCAAGATGTAAGAAGTAGTTTTGACTACACTCAGCCGATAAGCTTGACGTTAGCAGTGATAACAAACAGAATTGTATGACAGAGCTGCGCAAACAGATGTAAGGGTCCCCACCATATGGCTCGACAAGTTTTTTAGCCTGTCTACCATCCGCGCTGCCATTACCCATGGCATGGCGCCTGGTTGATGGGCGTTGTAGCCGTGACGAAGGGTCTTGCGGTCTCTGAGATGTGTCTCCGTTGACCTTCGCCACCGGCCGCCCACCAGTTCCATTCGCAGCAGTACCGGAGGATGAAAAAGTGCTGAATGGTTTTATAGCTCCGGCTCGGCTCATAGAAGTGGAAATAGGTGAGGAAGATGTTTGCGCCGGCCGGGAGCCGTTGGCGCCAGACTGTACGAACGTTGGGGGAGGGGGCCGCTTCATCTTGCCCGGATGTGCCATGGGCTTGGTGGAAACTGCGGTAGCCATGGGTTCGGCAGGCAGCGAGCTACCTCCCACCGGGTATTAAGGAGGCCCAGACGCTATGGAGCGAAGAGAAACGCGCCCGATAGTCTAGGAACTGGATGCTCGGCTGATATGCCGGACATGAGGGGACGGAGGCCTGGCGAGAAGACGCCGTTCGCAGGACGGGCAAACCGGGCAGTAGGCAGACACCAAATCGGAGACTCAGATCGTTGAAAGAAACAGTCAGCGAAGACACTGACGCAGCGCTGATGGCGAGTTGAACAGGCCGCCGGTCAGGATGAAGTCATGCGAAGTTCATGAGATTTCGATCTTTCTATCTTTCGTTTCTCTGTCGTTGTCTCGATGCTTAATAATCAGTCATGTGATAAATATTAGTAATAAAGATGACTATGTTATTAGTAAGCTGATATTTTTATTTTGACGTTAAAAGAAAAGTTGAAGAAGACAACAAAGTAGACAACGACATCAACAGACAACGAACGGGAGCGAAGTTGCTGAGAGATGCGGCCTAGGGGGGAAGTTGATGGGCGGGCTCTTTCTAAGGCACTTGACTAGCTAGGATATACCGTCAATACCCATTTTTGGAACGAAAGGAACTGCGAACACTACGAGACCATATTCTATTCTCTTGAAAACAACAATAATGAATGATAACACCAGGATGTAAACCTGGGATGACCATTTCCAAGTGGCTAGGCACCTAATCGTTGCCCACGCATCCATTAGTGAAACCTCCAGAAGAAAACGCTACCTTGTTGTTATCAAAGCACCTTGCTCGAACCCATATAGGCGTGTGGAACTTCAACTCCCATTCCATTCCATCCTTGTCCGGCTCGTCAAAGTACTTGAACTTGAAGGCAGTAACTCCGAGCCCAAGGCAACCTTTTATGCTTGGCAGGATAGTCTGCCGCCCAGAGTCGTATGTAGACCAGCCGGCACCATGAAGTTTATAGTCGGAGTAAACGGCTTTATACCACCCCTCACAGCTTCCGTGCGGTTTTTTGATCGGTGGCCATGGTCTGTTTTCTCGCTTGACATTGATCTCATAGGTATATCCTCCCCTTACCCATCTGCCTCCGAATTTCCAGTTCATCGGGTTGTTGGCATCGTTACCATCACACCCGTTGATAATCCGGTTGAATGAAAACAAACAGTCTTCTTTAACGTATTTCTGAGCGCCATTCGACAACCTTAGCTCAAATGTATGCTCGTCCGGAGTGCCCTCATGAAAAGTCTGAGACTTTCTCCAGTTGATGGTATTGTCGGGTGCCTTTATGCCATTGCAGAATGTTTTGTAATTTTCATTCATTCTATCTGGGTTCGCATAAGCTTTACGACCCTCCTTCTGCCAGCACTTAAACTCGGATTTGGCAGAGCAAAAGTCCTGCAGCAACCCGAGCTGTTTTGACCGCAGGTATACTATCGTCTCAAGCGTGAACGCACTAATCGTCTCATGACCTTTTTCATTTGGGTGGAAGAATCTTCCCCACCGATCGGGCAATCCAAATCCAAACGTCCAGTCAAAGCTGCCGTCGCCCGGGCAGCCTGGGGGGTCAGGAGCCCTTGCCCCAAGTTTATGCAATACCTCGTTTCGCGGATCGGCTGATTTGTATAACAGGGAGTTATATATACTTTCCAATTCTAACTTTCGCCGTCTCTCAATCTCATTTGCGTCAGGTTCCTCACGCTTGGTTATGAGACATTCGAGAAATGATCGTTTATGTGTGTCAGGTTTGAAAAATTGAAGCTCCTTTGTTTTTGGGTCAGGATAATACCCCATGGAACCCGGCTGGCAGAATTGTCCAGAAACTCTTATTGGCCACGGGTCCCAGTCTGACGTTGCGATGGAATAGCCAATTCCTGAGTCTTTCGATATCTCTTCAACAACCTCTTCGGTTGCCTTGTTGATATGCTGCACCAGAGTATTGAATTTCTTCCGCCTTTCGATGGTCAGGGGTAAAGGCTTAAGAAACAACCCAGGAAGCCAAAATGCCGATGGTATTTGTGGAAATGACCAAGATTGGTCCTTTGTGCACCCTTCATCTTCAGTGTTAAAAAACTGGGCATATTTGTTAAAAACGACGATTCCATCCTTTTTCATTTTATCATTCAACGCCTTAAGGATGCTTTTCAGATTTGGCTTTAGGATCGTGTCAATGTTGGTTTGTGCCTTATCGAGAACTGCCTGGCACGATTCCTCTGAATAGGTCGGCAGAAATATGCAGGTAGTGATGATTTTTGACTATTACTACTTGTTAGTTCGACGAAATTCTCCTTCACGGACCTCTTCATTGAAAAATTTACCAGACACAGGTCATTTCCTCCAGCTGTTAGGACTACCAAGTTTAAGTCCCCCTTCAGCGCTTTTGCTTGCTCGTATATCTGAACCGATCGATCGCCACTACATGCAATGTATTGAAAGTCCTGAACTACAGACCCGAAGAGCCTGTTGAGGACTGCAGGGTATGCGAGGTCATATCGAGAACAACTCCGATCACTCTTGCTTTGCGAGTATGGCCTTCCTGCGCCAATGCCTGCGGTGAAGCTGTCACCGATAGCCGCCCATCTTTTCACCCATCCGAAATCCGCAGCATCCTTGATGTTTCGAGTTGAAAGGGGGGATTTCGGCTCGGTAACTGCTCGATCATAGCTGTGGCTTTTTATCGCAAAGCCATTAACTATGCTCGTAATTGCTATGATAGCCAATGCAACCTTGTCCATCTTGCGGATGATGGTAGTGCAAAACAGGCTAGGTAGTTTACCTCCTACATTGAATATAAAGACTACGAGGTATACGGCTTAACCCTCAAGTATTTAGCACTTGGAGGAACCAAACGACTGTCGCGAGAGTTGTGAGCAATACTGTTGGCCTTGTGTTTCTCGAGAATACCAGAGCCTCGACTCAAACCCATCATGTTGTTTGGCATTTATCCCCAATACCTTTGGTATCATTTGTGCCAAGGAAGGGAAAGCAAAGGAAAAATAGATATGGCTATAATATCAAGTGTATTGGTTATAGCCTGCATTATCTATAAAACGCTGTTATAGGTACCACGGCTAGAGCTATGGTCTGTTGGTTTTGACTACCTACTCGCGTTTGCAGTTGGACTTATATACGGTACAACTGATGAGGATACCAGATACCACGGCTTTCAATGAGTCTCCTTTGTTTGTCTATGAGGTAGTACAGCGAGGCTTTATTAGTATGCATTTGGCAACCAAAATCGCGGCCCCATAGTAACGAAAAAATGCTCCTATACCCACAATGCCCGATTCAGATAGACATAAAGACGAATCTTGACAAACGCCTTGCTGCTCTGCAGTTGCGGCCGGATCTAGATCCGACGCCAATCTCATAAGATGCAATGATCCGTAAAGCTCTACAAGACGATTTGCCTTGACATTCATAGCTTTGAGTAATTATCTAGCTATCGGTCATGGCTATCAAGGTTATATTGATATTTTTCTGCTACATTTTCGCGTCGACATTGAACGCCGGACACCCTTTATGGGAGTACTCCCAACGGGATATCAAAGCTAATAATGCAAGTCATCCTCTTGCTAAACGCTGGGCAACTATCAATCCAAACTTAGGTACCTTTCATCTATGGCCGGATAAGACTGTTCGCTTCGTCTTCGAAGATAAGAAGTCAAAACAAGCTCTTGGACCTTGGATTGTTGCGGCAATGGAGATATGGTATGCTGCAGGACTTCCCAGGGATTTTAAAATGACCGAAGTCTCCGAAAAAACAATGAAAAAGGAACGAGCGAATATCCTGGTTGTAAAATTCACTACAAAGCCGGCCCTATACGCAACTCCCGCAATACCGCCGAAGGATGAAAAGAACGGGATTAAGGGGCCTACCATGCTTCTAAACATAAGGAATGACGTTGGAATGCTAGACATCGGGGCCAATATTGCCCACGAGATCGGACATGTCTTTGGATTATTACACGAGCATCAAATACCTGCTTTCTGGGGAACCCCTGGACATTCAGAGTCGTTATTCAAATTCAATTGTGAAAACTTGCAAGACTATCAGAAAGTGACAAAGGGGCTGTCTGCATCAGAGATCGAAAAGGCCTGTACAGACCGTGCCACTGCTATAAAACTGAGGTTCAGCGCTTCAGAATATCTTCCTATTCGCTCAACAATCATGCGCACGCCAAGGGTTCCGGCTGTACCGACTGCCGATGATGTTGACTGGGATTCTATAATGATATACCCTAGCGGTTCTGGAGCTGCATCTCCCGACGGTACTGGTCCTGAAAATGACTTACGAAAGAGCGTTTTATTAAAAGCCAATGGTGATAAAATCAAGCCAAATCTCGCCCCAAGTGACCAGGACGTAAACGCTTTGATAACTCTCTACGACGTTAAATTTAACACACCGCAACCAAAGCTACTAAACGACCCGTCACACCCGGATTACTCAAAATTTAAGGAAGAGTCATCCAAAAACACAAAGTGTTAGTGAGCAAAAGCGCCTTTCTTTCTCGACTACTAAAAACGACTTTCTTTTATGCTGAGCTTGAGTACGGGCCTTTATTTTGTTTTACACTGGTTAGCAGTAGCGGAGTAACTGAGTTATGGAATTATACAACTAAACGTAAGAAACTAGAAGCCTAATAGACTCTCATAATTCCTCTTTCTCAGGCCATACTGTCCCCAAGTCCGAGCCTAGGAATGATAGTGGCCCTTTGGAAACTTCCGTTTTTGTCTTGTTCATGGCAGCTCCCAGAGCATCTATCAAAGTCCCGTCATCTAGATCAATAGCCCAGACCATAACGCCTCCAAGACAGCGTTTGTTAGCATAGTCCATTTTGATTTTCAGTGTTTCTTCGTCATCCCAGCTAACCCACTGGTCATTGTCCCAAGTGATTAGTTTTGCAGCTGCTTCAGTGTTCAATTTGATAGTGGCACCTTGTGAAATGACCTTCTTGATTTCTCCAGCCGATAGTACCCCAGGCGTTCCCGTGCATTCACCTCCATGAGCTCCTGACTTGAATTCACACCCAGGGTCCAAGCAATTCGGGTCCTTCATTGTGAAACTTCGGCCGTAAAATCCCAACCCCATCACCACTCGAGCTGGGTTAATGTTATTACGCCAGAGTAGTTCCAGGGCCATGTTGATTTCTGTAAGGTTTGTGTGAGCGTATGCATGTGAGCCTATAGATTTGACGCCAGCGTCCCACGTCCCGTCTAGAAGTCCAACATCAGTTAGTGAGGGGCAGGAATGCATTCGGGAAGCCTTGGGAGTGGCCTACGGATGTCGTATGTCATGACGTTGAACCAATCCACATGTGGTTCAAGGTTCACAATATCGAAACCACGAAGATACCAATATGATGCCGGCTAAGAATGACGTTAGAAAGGCTGTTAAATGTACTGTACCTAATGGAAAGAAACTGACCAAAGTTATTGAGAGACCAAACTTCCGGCCAGTCTGGTTTAACCGCCGCCTGAGCCTTCGTAGGAATGTAACAAAGTTCTTGAAGTCTTCTGGCTTTCCCGCTCGATCATCCGCCACAGGGTATTCCCAGTCAATATCAACTCCATCGAATCCATTGTTTAGCATAAAAGTAATAAGTGACTCGAAAAATGCGTCTTGTCTAGACTCTGATGCCGCCAGATCAGAGAATGTAGTCCGTGTAGGCCCCGGATCATTCATAGCCCAACCTCCTATAGCAATCCAAACCTGTAGATCGGACTGATGATCCTTCAGTGCAGTTACTCTTTGGTAGAGTGACCCTGTCTGAGGGTCCATTGAAGCAATCCGGAAAGAATGGGGATCAATTAATGCAAATGCAAAGTTGATATGGGTATAATAGCCTAAGGGGATATCCTCTGGCTTCATAACTATGAACACTTCAGTCCATCTGTAAGAGAGACAACGCTGCATATGGCTAGCATAGTCGAACTTACCTCCGCAAGGCCGCTGCAGATTCCATCCCTCATAGTAGCCAATTACTCTTGAATGGGCAGATTTACCATTCCCGCAATTTGGAGAAACAACTGTTGCGCCTCCACAAAATTCCGATGTAGTTCCTACGAAAACCCCGTTAGACTGAACCTGCACCATCGATATAACTACTAGGAAGTCTTACCACAGAAGCCGAACTTGCTGCAGCACACATTCAGGGGACATTTTTCAGCATTTGACCATTTCTTGCCCCATCCCGGATCACATTCGCTTTTTGAATTACACGAAGATGTGCATCCTGGTCCACAGAACTTAGGTCCTAAGCCACAGACGCCATTACCGCTGCGATCTCTAGACATCCAAATCAGTCTAACGAGCCCTGTTTTCCTTGGATGACGGCAGCGAGATGAATCAACAGTCATTACTTACAGAGGGCCACAACACCCGAGCTTGCACTTTCTCGTAGCCGTACATGTATACTCCTTGTTATCGGTCAGAAGCTTGCTGTCACTACGGGGAGCAGGGCTAGACGAAGCAAAGGAAAGCAGAGCTGAAATGGATAAGAGGGTCAAAATAAGGATCCTAGATTTGTGCAGGCCCATCTTTGGATTCCTGGTGCAATATAATTTTCGATCTTAGCTATTCAGGGGTAACTAGTTATTAAACTCTGGCTCCAAGGGGAAGCATATAAGCCCTTAAAACTACCACGACAACAAACAGGTAGTTATGATTTTCTTCTTTATCTTTTATCCCTGTTGCGTAGTTACAATGACACAGCCTTAGGGAGACAACCGTTTCTAACTCTCGTCCACAGGAGTGTTTGTCAGTTGGTGAAAGTACCTAACGATGAAAAAAAAAAAAAAAAAAAAAAACCATCCAACAATAATGTCGTCTGTTGAGACAAGTAACTAGTGAGTTAGCTGTTGCGACGACAGTTGCATCGGGGTGGAACCGCGAAGGCCCAGCTCGCGGAATTGTTATTCACCGCACCATTTAGTCGTTTGCTGCATCTGGATCGCCCGATAGGAAGTCGAGTTTGTATATAGAGATCGTTTTACAGGATATCAGGCATACGATAGCCCTGAGGGAGGGAAAGCAATAAGTGCACTTACCTGTATCCGCTTCGTTATCAAGCCCAGCCCTATCCATAGCTGGGTTGTTAGAATGACTTGCCTCGATTATATCCTCCTCTTATGGGTATGCGTAGCCGTTGGAGGCCAGGCTGTGAGCCAAACCGCCTCTGCCCAGAAGCCTAGTATACCCGGAGAGACGATGCCAGCTGGTCCTACGAAACCTAGGACTGCTCGGAATTGTAACAGATGGCACACCGTCGAAAAGGGAGATACATGCCCCAAGGTCGAAAGCATCTATGGAATCTCACATAACCAGTTCCTAGAGTGGAATCCATCGGTTCCAAAGGACTGCTCTCGAGAGTTCTGGCTGGGTTATTCATACTGCGTTGGAGTGAATGGCAACCCAGTAATTGCCACCCCTATCCAGACAAATCTGATAAATTCAACGATGACATTCCCAAGCACTTCTCCTACAGTTTATTCAATCAGAAACCCGGTCACATCGGACGAATTTACTGTCTCGTCAGTGGAAACAGCTTGGCCGCCGAAAAGAACCCAGCCTGGACAGCCGTCATATTGCAACAAGTGGTATCATGTCAAGATAGGCGATACATGCAATACTATCCAGATCCTCCACGGGACATCAATGACACTCGAAGAGCTGTGAGTCAGTTCCTTTCCTTACGGTAGCACGGTTGCTAATGTTTAATTTTGAATTCAAGCCATCAGTGGAATACTGGACTCGGAGAGGACTGCTCGGGTCTCTATGTTGGCTGGTGGGTATGTGTTGGCATCCAACCGAGGACCTCCTTAAGTCTCTTCTACCCAGATGGATCAACGGTATTGCTTCCGGAACCCACACAATACACGCCGACACCCACCTCCGTAGACACAGCAGAGTTCACTGCATCTCCAACGCAATCAGGATTAATACCTGGCTGTCAAAAGTTTTATCAAGCAAGGTCGGTAAGTGAACTGCCCAAAGCAAACCCCTATTTCACAAGGTAACTAGCTGACATTTAATCATCACTGCGAACATAACGACTAGGGTGATACATGCCCCAAGGTCCTCTCTCAGATCGGATATATCACGAAGCAACAGTTGCTGGAATGGAATCCAGCGCTGGGTGAAGATTGCTCTGGCCTCCGGGTTGGCTACTGGTATTGCGCAGGAGCATTTTCCGGAGGAAACCTGCCAGGGCCTCCAACGGTAACAACCGCCCCTTCGCCATTACAAAGCGGTTCGGCGAGCAACTGTGTAGCTTGGTATCAGATGACGCTGAGCGATACATGCGAGTCTATCGCTACAATGTTTGGAACGTTTTCCAGGGGAGAATTTATCTCCTGGAACCCAGCAGTGAATGAGGATTGTTCGAAAATTCAGGTTTGGCGTTTCGTTTATTCTGTAATTTCAGCTCTCCAAGACTGGCCTAACCACGCTGAATACGGGTATAGGAAGGGTCCTGGTATTGCGTTGCGGTTCCGGGGACACCACGATCCCGGACCGTGTCGGCCCCAGCGAGCCCGACTTCCACCAATCCAACGCAATCAGGATTCCCATCGAATTGCCGTAAGCGTTGGCTTGTTTCCGAGTAAAGTTTCCCGTATCTCTGACTTAGCTAAAAGTTCCATCTAACGGTTTGTACAGGTCAGAAACATGTAGTATAATCCTGAAGTTCACAGGAATTACTTTAAGCAACTTTCTCCGGTGGAATCCAGCAGTGGGATCCGAGAGCTGTGATAATCTGCTTCCGGGGTATGAGGTATGCATAGGGGTGGCATAAACAAGGAGGTCGAGATATATGTGCTGAAAAAACAGCTCCGTCGCTTTGAAAACCATAAAAAGATGGCCGAGGTATGTTTAAGGTATCCCGTGCTATATCTGCTAGACATATAATGCAACGATATTGAAGCGACAGGGATTCACTTGTAGCAATCTCGGGACTAACCTTAATAATTGCTGCCTCCCTCACAGTCAAAGTGCATCCCTGGCATTAGTCAACTAGTTTTTGTTATCAGCACGTTCGCACAAAAGGAAGTGGAGATGCCGGGCTCGGGATATGCTTGAAGTCGATCAAATAGCTTGTGTGTCTAGCGATAGGGAAAGGCACTTGGGATACTCCGTATAGCGAAGGATATACCAGTACATTCAATTTGTAACTAGATAACTAGCCGATTGACGAACCCGTAGTTAACCAGGTATTAACACCGTCGAAACTTTGAAATCGCCCAGATGCCCTAAAAGAGTCATCGAAGTTCGCCAGTAAGGTGATATGCGCAAGAAGACTATGGCAAGTAGTGATATGAGATGCATATTTCTGAATCGAGAATACCCCCGATGTGAGTGAAACGATGAATAAGATGGCCAAGTGCTCCGAGATGCATGGGGCTCGTCGCTTGAGTGGAGTCGGGGTTTGCACATCGGATACCTAGTTGGCTAGTTAGCTATACGATGTTTGCGCGTCATCATGATGAAACTTGACAGATCAGCGTCCTTTGAGCTAGATATGAAACTCCCATCCTTCTCTGCCGGGCGGGCTGCTGTATAGCGCAAAAATACCCGTGGGCATTCAGGGGAACCCGACGTCAGAAATGGACCATCAAGACAGGAGACAATAAATGTCCGTTCCACGTTTGTGGCGACTCCAAATGAACCATTGGTACGGAGTAGTTATTCGTTTCCATAAAATGAATGAATGCGTTCCGAGGATACTGGCTGAGATAGCAACATTGCCCTGGTTCCCCCCGATAGAGGATGCTGTGGCTGTGGAGAGACCAGGTTCGTCGGCCCTTGCATACCCAGACGGGTCAATGCTGCGAGGACGCTAGATTAACTTGTTAACTAACCAGCTAGTTAACTGACTAGCAACCCGAAACAACATCCGTGGCCGCGGGGATCAACCTGAGCCATGGAAAGGGACGTCGTTACACCCACAGAGCCCCTTTTTTGCCGCGCAAACTCAATTTTATGCCCGTTATCATATGCGCCGTTTTGTCAGCACAACCGCTGTGAAGACTGGTTCCGCGGCAAAGTAGGGGACAGCTACTGGTTATCCGCTAGAGCTCATCTCTGGTTAGCGGGTCAGGACTGGTGAGGAAGTATCCGGTTGGGCCAATCGAGTTCATAAAATCTGTGACGTGCCTTGCACATGGCACCGGCGATAGGCTCAGCACAGGTCAGGGTCAGCTATCAAAATCTGGAGATCACTCTTGACCTCCGTCTGTCCGACATGTGAATACGGCCCCCCTTCTTGCTTGTATCTAGAGGTTAGATATGAGGGATATATCAAACTGTGGAGGTGAAGCTGGAGCCGGGTTGGATGCCCCGTAGCCAAGGTCTTCACCCCATACAGGAGGATGAAGATACCCTCAGCAAGACGGAAGATGGAGGGAGCCCCATGGGCAAAGAGTTCAAGGGAATGGCATAAAAGGGCTGCTGCATCCTCGAAGTTGGCCATTTTCTTTCCTGTCTTTTGATCTCATTCACCCACGCATCAGCCAGCTTTCCTTCATCTTTCCAGATTTCCATCTCTGTTCAATTCCTATATCAAGTCAAGGACATCCCATCAATATGCAGTTCAAGTCCATCATCCTCTCTGCCATCATGGCCGGAGCTGCCATGGCTGCTCCTGCTAGCAGCAACACCAAGACCACTCCCGGCTCCGGCAGCCCAACTGCCCCAGACGCTCCAAGCGCTGCTGCCAGCTCCGGTCTTCCCGGCCTTCCCGGCCTTCCTGGTCTCCCTCCACCTGGCTCTGCCCCTGAGTGCGACAAGCTGCTCGGTGCTATCGCTACCTGCGCCGCAAAGGGTGAATTTGTCCAGATCCTCATCTGTGCCGGCACTAATGCTCCAACGGTATGTACTTCATTCCTTCGTCTTGGAGAGGTATTTCTAGTGCAGGATGCTGACTGTGCTGCTTCTTATGATAGGCCTGCAAGTGCTATGAGGAAGTCAACAAGGGCCAAGTGAACCTCCCTATCATTGACCAGATCTGCGAAATCGTTGCTCCGGGTAACGGCTCCAGCGCAGCTCAGCCTAACTAGATGCATTGGCACAGTACCGATGCTATCCTTTTCATTCATCTCTTTCATTTCTCAGATCGTTTATTCCCGGGGTTCAGGCGCGGAGCTGGAGTCTTTGTCTGTATATACCTGAAGCTTATGTGTAATTAGCAGCCTGCATCCTCTGCCGAGGATAGCTAACGCTGTGGAAGCTATATGAAGACTGTTTGATATGAATTTTCTCCTTTGATTATAATAAATGCGGGGTATATAGTAGTGCATTTTATTGTCGAGACGTGACAAAAAGAGGACAGCTTCATGCAGTAGTACGTGATGAGTAGAATTAGGTAGGTTTGCCCTTATAGGGGAACCGGGAATTTTGGGATAGGCTCAGGGGAAGATGGATGCATCTGTGAATGAATCAGTATAATGCTTGGTTGGCTAGGGAAATATGTTCGTTGGACAAATTATTTATAGATAAATAGCTAGTAGATAGCTGCTAAAGGTATACAAAGAATATCCTCACCAGAAGACTTGCTGAAGTGCACACAGACTATGTACGGATTATGCACAGTCAGTTTAGCCCAGACATGTATGAAATGGATGCCAGAGCTCATCGGGAGAGGGACCTGAAAATATAACCGAGGGTTAAGTCAAAGAGGAAAGGTAGGGGAAGACGAGAACATAGAAGACAAAGTGATATCGTAAAGGATGAACGCCGCAAAAACCGAGAGGAAAGAGTTACCACCGTTCCGTCATACTGGGATCATTCGTGACCGCAAACACGTCGTTTCCACTCCTCGCCAATCCGAACTCCGTCAACGACAGTGATTCGTTTGCCGAGGCCAGTGACGCCCTCTTTCTGCCACCACCGTTCTCCCTTGTCAGCAAGGGCGGATTCATCGTCACTATCGATGAGACCACCTCGTCCACCTTCATCACCGATAACAACAACTACCTGGCGGACCCATCCAGAGATCTGGTTGACACTCTCTCCATTATTGCCAGTCAGACTCTCCTGAATATATACGATCTCCGGAGAAAGGTGGCGGAGAATGTGGACGTGGCCACCAGGAGTGCTAAAGGGCATAATCATTGTCTCGTTATCCACAATTGCCTGGGCCTGAGAGTATAGAGTATGGTAGAGAGCGGTAGGTTGCTGGGTTTCATCTGATGTTGTTGGGTCGGGGTCAACGGTGGTCAGGGGCGTAACTTCAGTGGACTCTGCACCAGCGGCCTCCTCAGATGCAATGTTGGAGTAGGAGGATGTGATTGACAGTGTTGGCTTAGATGTGCCTGCAGCAGAGGGCTGCACGCCCGGCGCATAGATGAGGACGAAGATACGAGACGTTTCAGGTTCGATATGCTCAGGCAGATGGGCTAGAATTGACTATAATAACAACGTTAGTAGAGGTTTAACTGGTATGATATCTAGAAACTTACAGCATGGCCGGAAATCTGCTCATCGAGCTCTGAATCTGGAAGAACAGAAGATACCACGATGGCAACTGTCTTCACCCTCTTCGGCCCCTGACGCGACTGAGAGGTACCCGTGGTCTCTGCAGGCAATGCGCCAGGAGTAGGCTGGCTCTGGCGAGGTGCATCACGCGCCGCCAGCTCCTCGTCTCTGCGCCCCTGCTGCTGCTGTTGCTGGTCGTGGTCATCATACTCGCTTCTCCCCTCCTCACGTATAGACGATAAGGCACCTCCAACCATAGCGCCCGCAGCAGTCACGCCTGCAACGACAGAGCGACTGGCGCCATCGAACAGTTGTTTAGGGCTGGGAGTTCGGCGCCAGGCACCTTGGAAACGAGACATCACGCTCCCATCGTCCGTGGCGGTTGTGACGCCCCTCGAGTAGCTATCCCCGGAGCCGGGGTCCATGGTGATGGGGGCATTATCATCATGGTAGCTCAGGCCCTCATCGTCATCATCGCTCTGGCGCTCACTCAATACCCAAGCAGCGAGTCCGGCCGTCGCAACCCCAACGGTGATCACCAGCGGCACCCAGTACCCCAGAGCTGACCGTCCAGAGGAGCGCTGGCGGTTGTAGTCCGACATGTGGTGTCAACAGTCGCTTTTCTCGTGAAGCTAGCTGTGTCACCTAAACATCACGGTCCGCTAATCAATGCAGCGAGTAGTGTCCGTGTCGCTCTGTGACAACAAGCGACACCGTTGATGTTTGTCTGCCTGTCGACGTTGGATGTTGCGGGAAGCTGGAGTGGTGACGGAGTAGTTAGTAAATAAACAAGATCCGAAAGATGCGACGTCCCAACCTCGGGAGTTTGCTTATGTCATCGCAAAGCATGTGACTAAGCTTAATAAGATATTAGTAATAAAGCCAGCTTATATAATTTATTACAAATCAACTACCACCCAAAAAAAAAAAAAAGGTGACTCAAAAGAAGCGACGAAGAAACGGAAGAAGAGGAAGAAGAAACATTTTATAGTAAAAAAAAGCTGAAGGAAAAGAAGGATTAATTGACAGATTAAACCCGGCATGGACTCCATTTCTACTTAGACACCTGCGTTAAGGCTAGAAAACGAGAAAGACATGGACGGTTCAACCTCGACATCCCGCATTTGCATCAAACATCGCCAATATCAAGCTGGACTCGCTGTTACATCCATCGGGAGCGCCAGTTTCACCGCATAACTGCTTCACCAGGAGAGATTCACTCTGGTCTGAGACATATCTTACGCAATACCTCCTTGACCAGAACACTAAGGGGGAGCATAAGCGAAGACGATATAAACAAGCAACATACATCTCGGTTTACCACAGAAAGATACCCCGCCGAGCAGAAGAATAAACACCTACTACCATGCCGCACCTAGGCCTGCCGCAGACGGGCTTCCAGGCCCTGATCCTCTGTGGACCAGGAGCCTCGTTGAACACATTCACATCCATCCCGGAGGAGTTCCCGAAGGCATTGGTGCCGGTTGCAAATCGGCCCATGGTGTGGTACCCCATGGACTGGTGCTATCGTCTAGGAATTACCAGTATGTCTCTCCCTTGGTACTGAACATCGTTTATTGCTGCTTTTTTGCTATTATTTTGGGTGAATGTTTACTACATATATTTTCCATTGTTATTGTTAAACCGATTGGTTGTAAAAAAAAGTTTGATTCGTAGCGTGTTGCACCCGCATATTCTCATGTTTGCCTGCTTACCCGTCGGTGTAGATATCACCCTCATCACCTCACCAACCAGCCAGTCAGTCATGAAGACTGCTCTATCACAAAATCCTCATCTCACATCCATCCAGTTCCCCACACCAACACTGCTGGCCCCCGCGGACCTTTCTCCTACTACTGGAACTGCAGAGCTCCTTCGACTACCCGAGGTCCAAGCATGCATAAAAACGGACTTTATAGTTCTCCCCTGTGATTTGATATGCGATATGCCCGGGCAGTCACTCCTTGAGGCATGGATGATGACACAGGGCTCGCTGGATGGGACATCAGATGGCTCGTCCATATTACCTGGATCATCTAGTCTGCTAGGATTTGCAGGGGAGAAGGCCGGACGAAGAGGTGGACTTGGTGTCTGGTACCCATTGCCCACAGGCGAGGAGAAAATCAAGGATGAAGTGCCTGACTTCTTGGTTACTGCTCCATTGAGTGGGGATGAAGCCCCTGCTGTTAAAGGATCACCTGCCACTCCCGCGTCTGTTCGTGCGGGCTTGCATAAGATCGCATATACCATGCCCATGGACTCGTTAAAGGACTCAATAGAGGAGAAAAAGGCACTGCTTATTCGATACTCACTGCTCAAGAAGCATGGGCGGATCAAGATTCTCAATGGCTACCGCGATGCCCACATCTACTTCTTCCCATACTGGGTAAAGGTTATGGCTCAACGGAATGAGAAGTTCCAGAGTATTAGTGAAGACCTGCTTGGCTGGTGGGCGAAGGCAGGCTGGCAGAAAGGGTTGGCTACCAAACTCAACATCCAGGATCTCTTTCAGTCACAGAAGAGGAGCGACGAGGCGAAAGCAGAGGGCCGTGCTAATAGCCGTATCGAGGAGGAAATCGACCTATTGGGCATGAGCACAACCAAATTACCGCGCGAATTCGACATACCATCACGAACTATCCCTGCAAGCCTTGCAAGCAGCTTCCATGCCGCTGAAGACCAGGCTGATGGCTCTTCCACAACAGCTGCAGAGAAGATAAACACACCTCCACTCCTCGGCTACGTAGCTCCATCCAAGCCATCAATGCCTCTTATTCGGCGAGTGGATAACTCCGCTCTACTTCTATCAATATCACTCCGCCTGGCAAAGCTTGACGCCATCAACGACACACACCCTCCAAACACTGCTACGCTTTCCCCCCTAGCTCACGCCAGCAAAATCGCTTACCCACCCGGCATCGCACAACGCTGCACGGTCTCAAAAGCAGACTGCCTTCTTGCAGAAAATGTCACGGTGGAGGAGAAATGCATCATCAAAGAATCCGTCATCGGCGCAAACTGCCACATCGCCTCCGGTGCAAGGCTAACTAGATGTCTACTTATGGATGGCGCTGTGGTTGGTGAACGCTGCCAGCTTGTAGGTTGTATCATCGGGAGAAGAAGTAAGCTTGGTCGCGACTGTGTGTTGAAGGACTGTGAGGTGCAGAATGGGAACATTGTGCCTGATGATACGGATGCGAAGAACGAGAAGTTTATGGTTTTCGAGGGGTTGGAAGATGACATGTCTGTTACTGGTGAGGGTGGGATGGAAATGGGGTTTGATGGAGGAGACGTTGATATGCAGAGGTAGCTAAACTAGATGCATAGTCATTGTCCATTGTCACATACAGCAGCGATGGTCAGAATAAGGAAACTGGTTGATTTCAAATTAACAAAACATGTGTCAGAATAACTACTATCTTCTCCTCCCGACCATCTGGTGATCCTATTGTTTCCTGGTCCTATCAACTCATCTTTTGCCAGCCAGGTCAAAGGGTAGAAAGTCAGGTAGCTATTCAATAAACAGGAGATCATTATTCAATTTAACAGGGCCAAACTCCCCCCCAGTCCAGTCCATATTTCAGTATCAAATTACCCCAAACACCGTTTTTCAATCCTCCCCAGGTATCATGCATAATCGAAAAAAGCTGGTATTTGGCAGCATCTAATTGTCGGATGGCTCAGCCTCAGTCGAAGCGAGAGAAAAAGGTCCGATTGCTTTGATGACATTAGCCATGGCGTCCTTCTTAGTAGGAGTAGCAGTAGGAGGCATTTTGATAGTTGCGTCGTCGTCTCGTGTGGGCTTCTGAATGGCGCCAAGCTTAGAATTATCGCTTATTGATGCATCGTCAAGCGAGACCTTTGGGCCCCCTAGGTCGGGGAAAACCTGATAATCGGCACGGTGGAAGTCTGGCTGACGCATCTTCGCGGTGAACTGGTCGGTGGTGTAGTCGATTTCTTCCATTTCGTCTTCGTCCGAAACATAGCCCTCCTCGTCTTCTTCCTCTAGAAACTCGCGAAGGGTTCCGTTTCCGCGCCAAGAGATAGGCAGGTCGAGGATGGCGGAAGCTGCTTCGATAAAGGTTTCGTGACCGCGGGCGCCTGGCGTAGGGCTGAGTTCACGCGAGGTCGGGGATCTGGTGAGAAATAGTCTGTCTTGCGTGGTGCCGGTGCTCAGAAAGTCACTGTCGTAGTTGTTACGTCTGAATAACGAAGGAGACGGGGTGGTCAGCTGGATCGCTGCGTCGCTGCCCGAGTAACTGGATGCAGAAGTAGGAGCAGGGGCAGGTGGCAGACAACGGAAGTCCTCTTCGTCCGGAGTAGTCGCGTAGTCTCCGTACCCGGGGTGTGTGTGAATCTGGTGCTCAAGGGGGGGCCATCCAACAAATAGCTTGACAGGAGACGGGTACATGTAGTTGGATCGAACCGGAGCCTCGAGCCGAATAAACTCGATGCTGCTCTTATCGAGCTTTGGAGGCGAGCGTGGAGGACAACTGGTGAGGTCTATCGGCATGTCACTGGAATCAGACCCTTCTACCGTGAGGACGTCATCTGCAATCGCCTTCAGGTCCACATCAGGGATAGCTGGGTCGACCATCTCGGCATCGAAGTTGTTAGGCTCAAACAAGTAGTCCTCGAAACGAGGAGTTGACTGGTCAATGTTTGACATGTTCGAGCAACGCAGGCCCATGTATTCGTAGTCCGTGCAGTCGACGCAGATCTGATGGCAGGGTATCTGTCTGGAAGGAGCAGGGCAGTCGGGTCCTCCACACGGCAGGCCTTGGGCGTACTGGACGTGTCCGCACTGGTAGGTAATGGAGTACGCGTTGCACATTGCGAAGGTAAGGGATCGAGGACCGAAAAGCTGGAGCTTCCTGGCTTTTATTCCTGATGGCCTTCAACGTGAATGGCTGTTTCAGGGTGGTGAAGGAGGGAACAGTGAATATTCACAGTGAATATCCAGAGAGGAGAGTGTGTGAAGAAAGAAGAAGAGAAAGAGGGAGAAGAGAAGAAGTCTTCTAGCGTTGTTGACATAAAAACTTGTCCTGTTCAATTTCTTTATCCGCCGAGTTAGGAGTCACTGTTGATGTCCTGTATCAACGTTGCTCTAGTGATATCTACATCGTTGACACCAGTGGCAGTGACATAACACCACAATCAACCCTAGAGCCATGAGGTATATTCACACGAGGAGATAGACACAGTTTTTTAGAGATAGATAGATACCAATGGCGTATATTTGATGGTATAGATGTAGTTTGGCATCCGGCAGGCCCTAAATGGGTACTCCGTAACTGGGGGTAGTCACTTCACTACCAGATATCAGCATCTTTATATCACTATAAAGATACGACCTGGTCAAATATAGGATATCATATTTTTATATCCCAAGATATTAAAGTCAGGATATGCGCTTTATGCCCATATCTAGCTACTTCTGCCTGTTATCTTCAACATTGGCTTCATCATCTCCATCTCCAGCTTCTTCTTCTTCATTCGATGTTGTTATTTTTTTTTGTTGACGTTGAATATTACATAAGCGGGGTTTTATTACATAATCGTCGATAAACAAAAAAAAAAAAATAAATAAAAATAAAAATAAACAAAAAGAAAAGAAAAGAAAAAAGCGAACGAAGAGTTTGATAGTCCAGCTGGACAGTTGCAGATGGAGGGAACGGATGGAGAAGGGATGGAAGAGAAAGGGAGGGAAGAGAGAATATGATACATGGGTTCTCACCTCATGGAGGTACAGCCTCACTTCCTACTTCCTGTGCAGTCGAGGTACAACGCTGGGCTAGGCTAAAGCATGCAGCAAGGCGGATCTCAGTCGAAATCTCAGCATTCATTCCTCGCTAGCTAGTTATCTGGCCGAGGTTGACCCTGTGAGACACGGACATGCACGAACGAGGAGAAGGAAGAGGAGAGCAGCCCGCATGCTCGTGCATGAAACTGGCCTCGTTGCTTTTTCTCAGGAACTCCCCTACATACAAGAGAGGGCGAGGAAGAAGACCAATCAGGTGTCAGCGGCCGGTACTGCGTTCCGACGCTTGCAAGAAAACAAAGAAAAGAGGGTGGATGGGTGGGTGGAAAGGGGAAAAGGGACGATGAAGAGCGGTGGGATGGGATAAATGTTTATTTTAATGCAGGCGGGAAATAGTTACGGGATACAACATCCTTAAAGGCGAAGAGAGGAGAAGAGAGCAAAGGAAACGGGAAAAGGGGAGAGAAACAGCTGGCTGTGTTGTTGATGTGGTGGTGGTTCGTCGTGGTGATGATGGTCGTGAGCGAGTCTGGGGGGCGTAGCTGAGACAATACTCGTATCCTCCGAGAGAATGAATGCGTTTGTGCGTGCATACGTGCGTGTGTGTGTGCGTCTGTGTGCGGGCAAGAGACATACCACTAAGTACTTAGGAGGCCGATGATGAACACAGGGAGACAGGAAGAAAGGTACCTTTTTACTCATGCATGCTCCGCTGGTTCGAGGGACCAAGGTGCTGATCATGCTAAGGGGGGGAAATCATCGCATCATCGTCATTGAAGCCGGGGAAGGCCGGCATGTCTTTTCCTGAGAGAAAAGGATACGCTTTACACTTTACGGATACGGTCCCGTTTACCTTACCACTGTGCTCGACTCAGGCTGGCTGCCTGTTGCTGCTGCTGGTGCTGCTGATGCGCGAAAGTGCCTCCCTCATGAGCCATGTCCCAAGTGGTTATCCCTGGCTCCCACTAGCTAGAGGTTGAGACACGACGCTAGGCTAAGTTAAATTGCTTGCATCAAGTTAAGATCAGGAGGAGTGGAGCCGTGTAGGGGCGCCTGGTTGATCTTATGATAAGCCAGCGAGAAAAGAAAAGAGAGGGAGAGGCCGAGAGGAGGATGCAGAGAGGATGCAAAGAGGAAGAGGAAGAAGGAAAGATATCTATCGATGGCTTGCGCGGGATGGCGAGAAAAATAATAATAATAGGTAATGTGTCTGCACTGCCCCCCTGTCTAGACTCTTCGGCGGTCCCTCCACAAAAGCACCCAGTGCCGTCTGGAGGAGGGAGAAGAAAAAAAAAAACAAGAAGAATAAGAGGAGCATAGTACTTAATAATGGCACTGTTGAGGTGGAGCAGTGGGTGCGTACATGAGTATAGACTTACTTAGAACAGTGCATAATGTCCGCTTGCGAGATTGCTGTTTGCACATACTTAGTTACAGGCCAGGGGGTTAGTTACAACCGTGGCTCCTTTTTTATATACTTACAGCCGCAAGCGAGAACTTTGAGATGTCTTACATAGTTGCTTAAGCTTTGAGTCTCGAGAGCAGTCTTCTTCTCTATCACTTCTATCACACTGCCTGATGGGGGCTTTACTATGTTATAGATACTCAATAGGTATATCTATATCTATATATATGAAAGTAGAGAATATGATTACTAGATGACCAGTTAAGGTACTCAGATAGCAGACTGCTATAGACCCAAATACATGAATGATATGCCAGATATTCGAATGTAATCAATAAATGCTATGATTATTCCAGTTTTGCGCGGCTCAGCATCCTTCGCAGTGCACCTATCCGTATGCCGTATGAGTACCAGTAGTTAACATCCTTCTTCGATCGTTGCTTACTCCGTGGGCGTCTTCGCATTCGCAGGCTTGACCTTCAGGGCTTTTCTTTTTCATGCATCTTTCGTTACTGAAGCCCACCGAATAACTACCGACAGCCTTTTTGTCCATGATAATAACGACTCTCTCTGCATCCAATTAAGGACCATCCCTTTCTCCACAAGGGGAGCCAGATCGGTAAAAATAAGTGAGAAATAACGTAGCTTGTTTGCTTCCATTAGGGGTCACTCGCTTGTTCCGCGTGTTTCGCCGCAAGAGATTGTAGCTTAGTCTGTCCCATCCCCTCGACTCATCTTGAAGCCTTAGTTAGCCCTCTGGAACTAATCAAATGATATAAGAGCAAAGTTCCTAGCCAGCTTCTTCGGGTATATGTGTATATCAGAACTAGCTTTCCAATATAGATAGGTGCTAGGCCAGAAGGGACTTCCGGGAGGGTATATCGACCACCTTGTACTCCGTATGCCTGGGCTGTTTAAACTTGGTCTATAGGTAGTTATCTTTAGTTTTGAGCCTGTCCCAAGGAGTAAGACGTAGAGAGCAGTGATGTGTTTTTGGTTGAACGGAGAGGGCGGCAGAGGGTGGCTTTATACTCCGTCTGTCAAAGCACCAGAGTCTCCTTTGAGTGACGTCCATCAGTCACTCGCCCTTTTGAGTGACTGATGGACGTCACTCGCCAACATCCAACCCTTTCTAGCTTCCCTTCGACGCCTCTCAACCCCTCCATCTCATTCTTCTACCCCTCATCCTCCTCCATCCATCTACCATCTTAAACCAGTTATTTCCCTTCTGGAAGGAAAGATGGTACAGGGTTATGTACTTCTTTTGCCACTTATATTGCTTCCCTGTCTCGAGGATAGTGACCACCCTGAACTGAACGAAACCCATCGTGCATGTTCTAGTAGAGATGGTGTCATAACTAATTGACTCCTCGGCAAGAAAAATTCTCGAATCCAAGGATGAAAAAGCCTGTCTCCGGCCATAAGGGGCTTTGGAGCCCTTACCGAGAATATGTTAAAGCAATGCATAAGTGTCTGACTGCAGCTCTGTAATCAGAAATCCTTTATTTGCCCCTTCCGGTAAGGCTCCTACCAGATATCCATCTATTACCTTTTAATAATAAACCAATATTAACTATCTATAGAATCAAATCAGATGTCCAGCTTTCGATTCAGCGGGAGGCATTACATGGAAGCCATACCAACGTTGACTAAACAAGACAAGACATCAACTAAGATCCAAATATACGAGTATTCCGTCGAATTATTCTCCACGTCCGCAGAGGGAACCGACGAAGAAGAAGTTATTTCTACATATTACCACCACTTCATTCGATAACTTTGATATCGATAGATGGGTCTAATCTAACCTAAGTAGTTAGCTAGTTAAATAACTAATAGTTATCTGCAGTACATAGTTAACTAGATAAGTGAGTACAAAGGCTGGCCTTCATCTCGTCTCCCACCAACGCCAACTAACTCCTCCGCCTCTATCTAACTTAACCCTCTCTAACCCTCTCCAGCCCATCCGACCATCTCATCTTCTGCTCCTCCTCCTCCTCCATCTGTCATCTTAAACTAGTCAATTATTATTATTATTATTATTATTATTATTTAATTCCTCATCATCATCATCATCTTCTTCTTCTTCTTCTTCCCTTGTCAGCGACCTCTTTAGACTTTAATAGCCCATGACTAAGCCATCCAGCCAATCATCTCCTTCCTTTCTGCAGATCTCTTCCCCATCAGGCCATCTTCTGATTAGTCATTGCTCTCCCTTTTCCCTTTCTCCCTTTCTTGTCTCCCTCTTAGTCTTTCTCCTCGCCGTCGCCAAAACCGCCCGAACCGAACTTCGACCTCTCTCTTCCTCTCTCTTCCTCTTCTTCCTCTTCTTCCTCTTCTTCTCCCACCCTCGTTTGTCCTCCCGTCCGAGGGATCTCTCTCTCTCTCTCTCTTCTTCTCTTCTTCTTCTTCTTGTGTCTTCTTCTTGCGTCTTCTTTTTCTTGTCTTCTCCCTGAGACGGCGGCTTTTGGGTGCGCTGCTCGGGCTCGTCGTTCCTCTGCGTCGTCATCTCTCCCCCTGGCCCTCCTCTCTCTCTCACCACCCCGAACTTCTGCTCTCTCGACCTCGCCCGCCAGTACTCAGTACATCCTCGCTTTGGTGGACTCTGAACCTTTGACCGTCCTCTGGAATACTTTCGCCCCCGGCCCTGACTTTTTAAGAACCTCTTGACTCGGCTTCCTCCGTCGTCGTCTTCCTCTTTTTGTTGCTTCTTGCTGCTGCTGCTGTTGGGTTTGTCTTGTCTTGTTTCAGTACTCCGGCTCTTCTTTTTTTTTTTGTCCAGCGTCAGCCACGGTCTTCTTCCTCTCTTCTTCTTTTTCTTTTTTATTACTACCTTCTTCTCCTTTCTACAGGTCAGTCTGCTTCTCTTCTCTCTACTCGTTTTTTTGGCCGACGTTGTGGTGACCCGGCCAAAGACGTGTCCTCTCTTCTCTCCCGCGTCATAACTAGCAGCAACCTCCCAAAAAGAGAAGAAAAAAAGAGACTAACGACTTTTCCCTTTTTTCTTCTCTCTTTCTACTACAGGCTCTGCACGTCTTATCCGTCCTCTATCTTCGTCTCGCGTGTCCAGCCTCCAGTCTTCATGGGTAGATCTACTTGAGTTACCTGCCTTCTCCGCTCTCTCTCCCTCTCCCTCTCTACCTCCCTCTCCACAGGCAAAAACCTCCTATCCTCGATACCATCGTGTATCAACATGGCCGCTCTGGTCCAAACCATTCCACAGCAAGCCGGCACGATCACCTTGCTGCAGCCTCGCCCTGCTTCTTCTTCCTCCTCTGCAACCTTCAACTCCTCTGCCCAGCTCCACAACCAGCCTCAGATGGCCCGGAACCAAAACCACGCCCGGTCTCAAAACGGGGGCTCTGGCTCTGGCTCAGGCTCAGGCTCGGGCTCTACTTCTGCCTCTACCTCTACCGGCTACCGACTCACCCAGCCAGTGGCCCCTTATGCCTTCACTGCCACGCCCGGGTTGCCTGCAAACTCACATCGACAGACCCAGACTCAGAGTCAGGCGCAAAACACAAACCATAACTACCCCGGAACCATCCCTCCACGTACACACTACGCTACTACTACCACGACTACGACTACTACTGCTGGCTCGGTATCCAATTCTTCCTCCTCTAATTCCTCTCTTCATTCATACCCTTCCAAGGATGACTCTTCCCTCTCCAAACGCCAGAACCCTTCCGAACTGAGTCTACGCCCTGTTTCGGCAATCGACCTCTCTCCCGCTCCCCCTCAACCCTCAGTCTCGCCCTCACCGGCAAACAAGCCTTCTCCAGACAGATATCGCCGTGGCCAGCGCCGTGGGGACCAGACTGCCTCCCCCGCCGCAGCCGTCACTGGTGGTTCAGAGTCTGGCCCGGCTGGCATGGCCACTGCCCAGACTGCCAAATCTCTCACCCCGTCTATAATCGATATACCCAGCAGACCACACCATGTTCGCGGATCAAGTGCCGACGCGGCCGTAACTGATGGCTCTAGTCATTCGAGTACCGAGCTGGCAAAGCGTTACCGCCGTAGAAGCATGGGTAGTGTCGATCCTGCTGGGTTTCTCACCTTTTCCGACTCTCACCCATCTCCACACGCAAATGAGATGGCTCTCTCTGAGTTTCCTCTCAGTGGCACTCCTCCTCCTCCAAACTCCATGGCAAAGGCTGCTGATGCCTCTTCTCTCAACTCCTCTTCTGGTTCAGTAAGTATTGCTCGTTTGATTTTCAGCAATCTTGAATGTGGTGTCTCTTTTTAACTAACATGTATTGGTAAGGTTAAATCTGAAAAAGGAGCGGAAACCACCACAACTTCCCAACCGACCAACATTACAAACACCAACAACACCAGCAACGCTAACAATGTCAACAACAACAACAACAACAACAATAAAAAAGCTACGATGGCTCGTCCCTCTGACACGTCAAAGCGATCGGGCACCCCTTCTCCTTTGTCGAAACCAGTTAATATTGATGCTGATGAGACCGTAACGCCTACCACGACCTCAAAATCTACACCTGACACGAAAAATCAGCCACCAAAGGTGGCAGAGACTCCCAGCCCGGCTGCAAAACGCCTCATTGAAATCTCAAAGAAAGGTCAAGGAAAGGGAGCAAAATCACGGCTACGGCGTGCACTCTCCTTCAGCAGCGTTGCCGAGCTACGTGGTATCTCGAACCCTGAACCGACTGTTAGCTCACCTCGCAAACAACAGCTTGATGAAGAGCTGGGACCTGAGCAAGCTGCTATTGCGGCCAAGCAGGAAGCCGGTGGGTTGGGCGAGAGTATCTACTCTGGCCAGGGTAACATCTTCACCGGCTCCACGGATAACATCTCCGTCTCCTCGACCGCCTCGTCCGCATCCATCATGCTCCGCAAAATGGGCAACGGCGTCAAACGGTCCACTCGTTCCTTGGTCGGCCTCTTCCGACCCAAATCTGTCTACAACGCCCCCACAGACACGTCTCGGATCGCCGCACCGGTCCCGCAGGTCTCTATGGTAACAGTAGAGGCCCAGCGAGATGTCGCCGGCAAGGGACCACCAGTACTGCCCGAGATTGGTGCGGGTAACGGTGCGCCTAAGCAAGAGATTGCAGAGCGTCGTCGGTCGGTCGAGTCAGATGCCAGCACCGGTGCTGATCGAAGTGGCAGGAAAAGCATCTTTGGTGGCGACCAGGAACGTGCTGAAGTCCTGGCCGCAGTTAGAAAGGGCATTCTGAAAAGTACGTCATACTCTCCAACTGATCTACATAGGACTCTTCTTTCCCTGATCCCGATCTAACATGTTTTATCACAGAATCAGGCACCAACTCCTCAAACTCCTCTCCCGTCATCCGCCCCACAACAGATCTTGCTCCTGTCCCAACTCTCCAGCGTCCCGAATCCCAGCGTTCTAGCAGCGCTCCAAGCAGCTCCGCAGGTGACCGTCCCCCACGATCTGGTCACCGACGCACCGACTCCGTCACCATCGAGGGAGAAGACTACTTCCTCCCCGGCGGCCGCTTCACCACCTCTGGTCAAAGCGCCCCTGGTACCCCACAATCGACCGCCGGTCGAAATATTTCTTTTAGTCCTCGAATTCAGTTCCACGATACCTGGCCCAGCGGCGAGTATGATAGACGTGGAGACGTGGCGACATGTAATCGTCTAACTCCGCTGCTTGCCCAGCAGATTAAGGAGGAACTTAATACTTTCAAAATGGTATGTATCCTTTGCAAAAATCTTCCTTACTCACCATGATATCTAAATGCTAACGCCTTGCGATTGTTTAGGAAATGGAAGTTCACGAATCTTCCAAGGTCTACACCCACTTCTTTTAATGAAACTTTCTTTGCATATTTGGCGGCGTTCCCTTCTCCAGGACGACGGTCAGGCGTTTCCAAATCCAAATCTGTATCAAATCTGTCCCTCGTTTTCACTCTCTCCAAAGCCAGTATCCTCCCTCTCACCACACTACCAGCTGCCCCTTTGTTCTTCACATTGATCCTAACCTTACCTGAACTTGATCCTGAACTTTTTCTTGAACTCATACTTTTACCGTCTTTGTAATGGCTGCGGTTTCCGTCTATTTAGTATGCCTGTTTTACTTGTTTTCTTGTTCCTCTTCCTCCATGTGATCGATTTGATTTGATTTCATCTCAGTTGATTCCAGTTGACTCTTCCTGCCTGCCTGCGTATGTGCGAGTGCAAATGGTTACTTTTCTTTGCTTTTTCTTTTTCTTTTTACCTTGCTGAAATAAAGGGATGGGATGGACGGACACATGGACGGATTCCAATCTACAAACTAACTCCCTACTAACCCGGTTGCTTGCTTGCTTGCTTGCCTTCTCGCTTGCTTTTCTCTAAACTGTTATCTCTCCGACCTTTTTTCCCTGTTCTCCTTTCCTACTTCCCTGCCTACTCGGCCGTGGCGCGCCTCGCGAGCGTGACGTTGTCTCATTTCGGTCCTCGGTTATCTTTCCCGGACTGGCCTGGGCCGACTCTGACTGACTTTGATCAGACCAGTTTAGTTCCTCTTCTACAGTTTTCTTTCATTGAAGTCTAATAACGACAGCGAGAGACCATTCATGTTCTCCATCCGAATTTTTCCTTTCCTTTCTCTCTCTCTCTCTCGCTTTTCTACCGTCCGTCTTTCTTTTCTTTTTCTTCGTCCATTTGCTCGCTTAGATCTCTAGAGACTCACTACAGATATACATTATCAACATCGCGCAGCGGATTGATTTTATCTAAATAAGCTAGCCATCTACCGATTCCTCATCCTCATCGCCAAGAATGTAAGCTCAAGACACCCAATCAGTGGGAAATTAGGAATCATTTCCACATTTTTTCCAAATCATTTCCCACGCCCCGTAGTTCGTCACCATAGATAGCAAGTAGCTTAGCTGGAGTGGGGAATAAAGCCGAACTTTTATTTCACGAGGCTAAAACTCTCATGCAAGTAAGTAAGCTTTAATTAATTTCTTCCCACACCTGCCGACGTTTGCATCACGACCGTTCAATGATCCTGCAATATTAATTAATTATTATTATTATAATTGTTGATGTTATTGGACCCACCAGCTTGAACCGCGCTGCCCCACCGAATTGACTTTTGTGCTGTTTTAGCCTTCGTCCAACCGGCCGGCGGGAGCCGCGCTCGGTTATCTCGTGTATTCTCGAGTGATTATTGGAGGCGGCTAATTAAACTAGCCGCGTCAACCTTGCGGCTAAATATTAGTCACCCGGTATCATTCACGTCATACGTAGGTGAATGTTGGGCAAGCTTTTATAAAAAGCGCACAAGCAACGTTTTGACGAGCACTTTCTCAGTAACTCTTACCACTTTATAACTGCTCTGCCACAACGCTCATGATGCCCATTATGGCTGACTCGACCGTGGAGAAGGCTGATGACCCTAAAAAAAAGTCGGCTGCCTCTTGTGGTGTCCCGTAAACGGACTCCGCAGACAAGGCGAATCGCCGGCATCCCGAAAGGGAATATCGCCATCTGTCGAGCCTGTCAAACTTTATAGTCGTTGATGTCATTATAAACTTACCCATCTTTGGCCATATTTAGTTCTTTACCCATCATTCTCGCCCTATATATCATGCCTCGACAGTTTACTTGTCTATCTTTCATATTTGCTCCGCAGAACTATTATCACTTGCTTAGCTTCTGTTTTCACAGGGTGTACTTTATTCCCTGAAGATACGACATCTTACACGTTGATAGCACAATGTCCTCAACTGCACTCAGCTTTGCCTCATCCGTGCCACCTGTTGGTACGGAACTGCCCTGGTGCAGAATTTCGCCTGATGGCAGATTACGCTCCTCCAGAGGATCAAGCGACGATAGTGAAGAACTACGTGGTGACAGCTGGGTCGTCGAAGACCTTCGGGCCGGAGGCCCAACCCTTGCCCCTGTACCTTCCACTACCATGCCACTCCCGCCTGGAAGCCCGTATATGTGCATGTTGGATGCACGTAAAGAGTTGAGCAAAAGCATCCAAGCCATCCTCCAGCGGTCAGGAGTTACCGCGACGACATTTACACTCTGTTACCGCCGATGTGTACTCTTTCTGAACGATCATCTCGTACCGACGCTTCTAGTTGTTGCAGAGAAGAAGTCTCCCGACGAAGATTGGCTTTCCGTTAGCCGAGAAATATACCAGCTTCTTGAAGCAAATGGTCTATCCCAGTTCAATGTTGAGATCTGCGATGAACGAGTCCATATTCAGAAGAATTCGTCTCCTGTTCCATCCTCTGACCCAATCTACCCTCTATGGGACGACGTCCTTGAGCAGATCTTAAATAGCATCGACCGCAGCTTTGTTCTAGCCATAGAGTGTTTCCGCTACGGCGCGAACCTCGACGGAGATAAAAATCCCACCACTGTCATTGTCACGGTCGCTCGTTCTTCGCGGGGCCCATGGAAGGATACCAGAGAAGCTATAGTATCGATTCTCAATCGATATAACCTCCACCATGTCGCTGTAATAATTGGCCAGGGACTAATATACCGAGGCGGGTAGCTTGGATCAGGATTTACCAGATACAGCGTGGAATAACCAGATGCAAGTCGGACTAAGTCTCGGAATATACCAATCTCGACACTCTTCCTTTACATTTGGAGGCTGGATCGAGATCAAACAAGAAGAGGGGTCAGCTTGGAAGAGGCTTGGTTTAACCTGCTACCATTCCGTACATCCAGATCTAAATACCGCCTCTATGGATGACCGAAGTATCTACATACACAACCCTATTGGTAAAAGGATCAATCTAGAACAGCCTTCATTGAAAGACACAGAATCAGTCCTTAAAGATATGAAGGAGGAGCTAGGACAGAAGCCACCTAGCTGCTTTACAGCTATCAAAGAGAATATCGAAAATGGTGGAGATGTAAGCCCAAGGTCGCGCACGCTTTATGACGAGATAACTGCACAAGCCGCTGAGATATCTGATAATATGGCGAGGATAGAGTATTTTCATAGATCATCTTCGCCTTGGCAGCCATACGACGACCTACTTCTTTCCCACCTCCCAATAAACCCCAGCATGGGACACTTCGTGACTAGGGAAACAAATTTGCCGACTTACAGCCCTTCTTATGCTGGCTACGTATACGCGGCATCCGGATATCGCCAGATGGTGTCATCGATCCGTGAAGAGAAGCGACGTGCTGACTGGGCTTTGATCGAAGTACCAAAGACCAGACATTCCAACAACTCGGTACGTTAATTTGTTGCATACCATGTATCAACCCATATGCTAACATCTTATGTAGCTCTTGACCTACGGAAGGATAGGCCTCTACATTAACAACCTGGACCTGCAGCCCTTCCCAGGTATCCCTGAAGAGAATACACAAGTCTATAAGTTAGGGCGGTCCACACGAAGGACAAAAGGAAACTTCTCTGGCCTGAGGAGTGTCCTTCTAGACACGCCCGATAATAGAGGCGGTGCGCCAGAGGTGAAATCCCTCGAGTACGCCGTGACCGGGTCGTCTGGCTGGCTCTTCTCGGGCCCGGGAGACTCGGGTGCCTTGGTCTTTGATAAGTATGCCAATTGTATTGGAATTGTTATTTCCCGGAATACAATTTCAAGGGTCTCCTATGTGACACTCTTGCCTGACCTTTTTGATGATATCAGGCGAGTTACCGGAGCAGTCGATGTCCGCATTGCAGAATAGACGGCCTTTAAAATTATAAAATACTGGATAAGCATGGCACTTTGTATGCCTTAGCTAGCAGATTAAGATTGTCAAAGATATATAACGACTCTGCAGTTAATAAGGCTCAGGTGTTTGATAAAAATTCAGGCTTAGTTCTAAATTCCACAGCCATCCGTATACAGGGGGATCTTTATCTAATGCCCTCAATAAACCTAAAACTAACTCATAGGATAAAGGATAAATCACATATTCCCCCATCACCATTGAGTCGTAGAAATAGTAGGACCTTTAGCAAAGAGGAAGTATAGTAGTCCCGCGCGATACTCGGCAGGCGTCTAATTAAGCTCACCCACTAGCCGCGCCATCTACCACTCATCACACACGCCAACGAGAGAAACATCATGCAAATTCGAACCCATAACCAACGATGTACCAATAGGTCTATATATCCTCACCACACCACTAACCATATTAGACAAATTATACTCGTTCTCCACCACCACGCAGCGCGCCCGACCATTCTGCTCAACAACACCCAACGTGCTATCCTCCATCTTCACCGCAACAATAACAGCCGTATGAGCACTGAACCGAACATTCTCTTCATGCTGCGTACCTACCAGGCCCAGCCCAGCTAGCGCGGTATATCTAGTTCTAAACCGCCCGTCGCTTAACTCAAGTATATCGCCTGCTCGTATACCCGTGGGAACATGTCCAAGTATCCCGCTGCTGTACGTGATAGGATACCCTGCGCAAGCAGTCCATTCGAAAATCAAGCACCCGTGGACGCGCCCCGTGCTTAACATAGGCGGTTCCCTGCCCTCGCGCAATGCCTTTTGGCCAGCGTGCTGCAACGCCTTGTACGCTAGGGTCCAACACTCGCCGTCGCCAATCGTGAGTCCGACGTGTGATTTGACATATGCTAGAATATCCGGGGCGTACCATTCTGATGCCCGCTGGAGGTCTGTATGGGTTACTTCCCGTCTGGCGGAGTGGGTGGTGGTGGTGGTGGTAGTGGGGAAGATGTTTTTAACTTCTGCCGTCGCGGAGGAGGGTGAGGTGGAGAGCCAGCGGACTCGGATCTTGGTTATTATGCCGCTGGGCCCAGGCGGATGGGTGGTCGAGGCCGAGTCTTCGGCCCAAGCTACGGCGCCGATGAAGATGTGTTCTGTGCCGATGCCGGGAGTGAGGCTGGGTGTGCTTTCCCAGGCGTAGTTTGCGTTGAGGATTGTGCCGAGCTGGCGTAGGGCGGGATAGGGGAATGTGGGAGGTGAGTGGGTGAACCAGAGGGTTTCGAGGGAGAGGGGGATGGCGGATTCGTTTTTGAAGCGAGACATTGTGTATGCTGGCTGGTATGTGTGATGTGGATTTGTGGATGGAGGGGTGGTTTTAAAGAAGTTGTTATATCATATCACTTCACTTGGAGAATGGATAGTGATGGTATTAATTTCTAGCCGTGAGTGACAAGCATGTAAAAGTACGCAAGGAAAGGAGGTAGAAGTAGCAGTAGCAGGTATACGAACGGCAAGCCAAGGCAGAGCAAGAATAGGAACGTAGCAAATACACCGAATCAACATAGCCCAACGAACAACTCACAAGCACAAGCCAAGCAAAAAGAAAGCCAAAAGACATGCTCCCTACTCCGTCAAATGTATTGTTTGCAACAGCATATGTATATGAAAACGACTCCCGCACCGACTACCGGGGTTTGGTATTCAGCGGCAATGGAGGCGGGGAGGGCGAGTTAGCTTGGACTGCATTCGAAGTCAGAGAGCCAGGCTTCATCGGCGGCGGTGGAGGCGGTGGTTTCCGCTTATTCAAATCCGTAGCTGAACTAGTATTCGAATGTTGATGTGCGTACGGGTGATTTGGATGTACGGGAGGTGGTGGAGGAGGAGGCGAGGTCGACGCGCCATGCTGACACTGGCATTGTGCTTGTGCTTGTCCCTGTTGGCCCTGGCCCTGCGCCTGCCCCTGAGGATAGGCAGGAGACTTCTGGTCCTCGATAAAACTGTTGATTTTCTTGGATATGCCGTATTTCTGGTCGAGCCCGCTAAGCTTGCTCATGCCGGCCTGGATATGGTCGTTGTGGCGTTCTCGGAAGGCGTTGAGGGAGGGATTAGAGGATGTGCGTTCCGTAGATGATCGTTGTGGCGGGGGAGGAGGCGGTGTGGATGTCGAGGTAGTTAAGGGTGAGACGGGAGTGGAAGTGGAGGAGGATTGTGGAGGCGGCGGAACAGAGCGGTTCATCTGGTTGAATCGTTGCTGCAGTTCGGACTGGGCTACTGATGCCATTGCCTGTGTTGTCTGCGGTGAGACGGAGACAGACACTGGCACGTTGTTCTGGTTCTGGCTGTGGTTTGTAGTGGCCTTGTTGATGCCGAATGCAGGTACAGATACGCCTGCGGCACCCAGTCTATTCGCTGCGGCCGAGGCGGCGGAGGATATGCCAGCTGCGGATGTGGGAGTGGTAGCGGCTAGTTCGTAAGCGGGCGGTGGTTCATTATTGTTCTCTGCCGCGTCCATTTCGGCGCGTCTAGGCGGCAATCTCGGCGGTAAAGACGGTTTATTTTGGGTCTGTCCTTGTCCTTGTGTATCCGTTGATCGTCTTGGTATTGGCGGAGGGGCAGGCCTGACACTAGCAGTGGTACCAGCAGTAGTATTGGTATTGGTATTGGTATTGGTCTTCCCCCTCTGCGGCGGCGGGCCAAACGAGGCCGGGTCTCTAAGGCTGGAGATAGGCCGACTTGCGCGCGGGGCGGGAGCAGGACCACCACCGGTACTTTTCCCTTTACCCACCCATCCCGCCTAGACAGAATTAGCAATGCACTCGACACTCTCAGATATATATGTATGTATATATGTTGTAGTAAGGGATGTTGGGGTGACGTACGACCTGGTTGATGCCCTTGAAGTCACCTCGCCAGCTCTCGCGGCCGCCGTCGTTGCCCTTGGGGTGCCAGCCCTCCTTGACAAGGCCCTTGAAGCCGCTCATCGTGCAAGACAGTAGTGTAGACGTGGGAGTGTCCTGCGGTCGTTTCTGTCGTTGTTGTCCTGGATTTGTTTCCCGTCGAGGGAGTGAAAGTTGGGCGAAACCGCAGGAGGTTGAGATGCTTATTTCTATTACCTAAGCAGGCTGACGTCAGCGTTGAAACCACGTGATTATTACGTCATATTACAGGATAAAAATAGAAATGATTCAACAAAAAGTAGCATTCTAAAGGTCCTTAAGGATAACTTTGATTGATTGATCTGAGGTTGTAGATTAGAGTAGGATAAGAATACAAGAGAGCAGCTTTTTTTAACCAGAGCCCAGAGCATGCCAGCCCGTCCGCCCGTGCATCGCATTGCATAGTATCGCATAGCATAGCATAGCATCGCATCGCCATTCGTAGAACCGTATGTAAGTAAGCGTGAGTGAGTAAAATAGTGATCCGACCAACTTTTTCCAGTGCGCCGATAGACATTAAATAGAAGATGAAAAAGAGAAAAAGAGAATTGGTTAATGACGCTTGGCGGCCTTCTTCTTTCTGCGCTGGGCATGGGACATTGGGGAAGAGGGAGAAGGAGAATGAGAGGGAGAGGGAGAATGAGGAGTAGCAGCCTCGTAGTCGACGCAGAGGGCGGTGGATTCCTCCGGGTGGCTGTCGATGGCCTTTTCCTCGGCGGTCATGACGTCCTTGAGATTAGCTTCGTACTTTTGTTCTTGTGTAACGGTGGCTACGTCAATGGCAGTCGAGGTTGCAGTCGATTGATTTTCTTGATTTTCCTGGTTTTCTTCTTGACTTTCCTCTTGAGTAGGAGAAGTAGGAGTAAGAGGAATAGGTTTGGTGGTGATCTCCTTCTCGGCGATGCGCTGCTTGCGGTTGAGCAGGTCGAGAACATTAGCCTCGTAAGCCCTCTCTGGTCTGGGAGTGGATGAACCGGAAGATGGCCCGTCGGAGGTGTTGCCATGCATCTCCCTGACGGCCTTGGAGATCTCACGAGTGACGTCCTTGATGGCCTTTTCGGCAGCGTGATGCTGGTGCTCGTTGGTGCGACGCAGGTACGAGCGAATGAAGAAGCGGACAAAGAGGAAGGTGAGCGGGAGGAGGTAGACGAGGTTGAGCCAGATGGCGAATGCTTGGCCGGAGGTGTTGATGCAAGGGACGGTGGTCTGGAGCGTCTGTTTGCGGAGTTCGCGGTGGTTGACGAGGGCGTGGGCAGCGTGGGATCCATCAGCACCGAAGAGGGTGCGGTTGGCCGAGAGGACGTTTGCAGCGACCCCGTCTGCCCCCGCGGCTCTGAAGGCGAGCTTCTTGAGCCAGGGAAGCAGACCGGTGGTGTCTTGAGAAGGGATGGTCTCGGTCAAGGGCTGGAGAGCCACGGGGTGGGATTCCTGGACGGGGACGGTGTAGGAGATGAAGAGATGGGCCGCAGCGAGGAGAGTTCCGATGACGAACTGGGCGATCTGCATGGTGGTGAGAGAGCGTTTGATCCTGGTTGGCACCTTGACTCTCAGTGCCGTCAACGTATAGTATGTATACTATAAACCGTTAGTATAGAAATAAAAAAAGGAAGAGAAAAGAGAAAGAGAGAGATACCATCATGGCGTGGATGAGAGAGTTGAAGAGGGCAAAGATCCAGATGGGGGAGGCCATGTATCTGATGCCGGCCCACATGCACATCATGGCTCCGGCGTGGTGGTAGGTCTGGAGAGTGGACGACCGCTTGCCCTTTGCGAGGATGATGGCGGTATCCAGCACTTCGTAGAACTTGGAGAGGTAGAAGAGGAATCCAAAGTAGGCGAGTCCGCTGTTCCAGAGGCGCCCAACATCGGTAGCGTCAGGCAGTCCCTCGGGAGTGAGATGGTATCCTGAGTCCGGGTTTGTCATGGTCCATCTGTTGGTGTTGGTATCATAGACAGCAGCGTTGCCTAGTCCCCTGGGCCCGTTGATCTTGCAGAGACAGTCGACGATGGCAGCTGGGGACGAGCGCATGGATGGCTCTGGCCAGGAGAGCCTGAAAGCGCGGATCATGCCGAGAAAGGTCCAGAGGGAGTAGACGGCGAGGAAGACATTGTGCAGGACGACAAAGAGCTTGAAGGGACGGGTCTTGCTGACGGCCCAGGGACGGTGGTCTCTGCGGCGGTTGAGGCGGTTGATGTACGAGACAGTGAGGGCGTAGGTCGCGGCGATGGCGATGGGGACGGCCGGACGGAGGAGAGCCGAGTAGACGGCGGGAGGGATGTTGAAAGGGTGATGCCAGGAGAGAGAGGACTGCTGGGCGGGCGGGAGGACGGCGGGGCGGGAGTCTGGCGGAAAAGCGAAGAGGGCGGAGGGCGGAGGGCGGAAGTCGACTGTCATGGTGGAAGTAGAAGGAGATCCAGCAGTAAACAACGAAGACAGCGAAGTCAACGAAGAAGAAGAAGTCAACGAAGGACTGAGACTGAAGACTTGAAGACTCCGAGAGAAGAAGAGAGTAAGTAAGGGAGTAAGTAAGAGAGGAAGAGGCGAGAGGCGACGGTTAGTAAGAGGAAGCAAGAAGCAAGCAAGAAGCAAGCAAGCAAGCGACTTGTTGAGAAGAAGAAGAGGAGAAGAGAAGAGAAGAAGATGACTTCAGCGATGACTTAATAGAAGAATTAATAGAAGAATTAAGAGAGAAGACTTAGAGAGAGGGTCTAGTAGTGAAATGAAGAAGACCCAGTGAAGGCTAGATCTCTCTCTCTTTGCTTTCTCTCTCTTTGTCTGTTTTGGGTATTTGGTCTTGTGGCCGTCGAGACTCTTCTTCTTCTTCTTCCTTTTCTTCCTTCGACTCCTTTTTCTTCTTCTTTTCTTCTTCTTCTTCCTTCACTTCATCCTCTTCTTCCTCTTCTTTTTATCATCTTCAACTTCTTCTTCTTCTTCTTCTTCTCTTCTTCTTCTTCTCCACCCAAAGCCGAATTTGTTGGGACGACCGTTTTGTTGGGCCGAGGTAAGTCGAGAATAGGAGGCAAAAGACTCTTTTTTTAGTCGTTGAAAATATTCAGACTTTCGGCCAGACGGGAAGATCAAGGCAGGTTAAGCGACAGGGGAGAGTCAAGGGCAAGGGGCCAATAGTTAGAGGCTACAGGGCGAAGGGAGAGAAGAAGATAAAAAGATAGAAAGATAGAAAGATAAGAAGAGATAAAAAAGAGATCGTTACTCGTGGCTAGCTATATACATACAGGGTATAAGAAGGATCACCGACAATGGCAGAGTCAAAGCAGATACAGGATATCAAGAGAAGAGGAAGAAAAGATAGTCACGGCTTGTCGATGGTCGGCAGGCGAGGCAGGCCGGACTCCCAGCGCTCCAGGTCGAGGCCCATGCCGTTGTCGCCGCCGGCCTTGTCGCTCTGGTGCCGGCAAAAGGGCGGCCACCACGACGACGAGCTCGAGGACTGCGACTGCGACTGAGACGGCGGCTGCGACTGCGAAGGGGTCTGCGAAGGGGTATGCGAGTGCAGCTGGGTCTGCGAGTGGATGTAGGTGTGCGAGCGAGCATAGGCCTGCGACGCTGGGCCGCCGCCGCCGCCGCCGCCCTTGGAGCCCGAAGACATGGTCGAGGACATCCAGCGGGCCAGCATGGGGAAGAAGTCTCGCAGCAGCGACCAGGTCATCGGCAGACAGGTCACCAGGATGCCCACTGTCGCCTCGCGCAGGTACCAGTTCATGTACACATACGAGATCAGCCAGGGGACCAGGCAGTACACCTTCGTCAGCACGGCCGCGATCACGACAAAGATGCCCATCCCAAAGACAAACAGCAGGATCATCTTCTGCTTGCGAGGCAGCCGCAGCGTCATGAACAGCGGGATCGCGATGGCCAGCATCAGCACGTCAGACGAGATGGCGAAGATGCCCTGCACGATCCCGTACACCTGGTACGACGAGCATTGCGCTGGAACCCCTCAACATCAGCACTGAACTGAATCACTGGAATAAAAGTGCAAGTGCAAAGAGAATATAGACCTACGCTGGTCGACTGGAGGCGGAATGGCCCAGTAGAGGTGCAAGGGCCGGCAGGTCAGGAACAGGGCCAGCTCGGTGCCGACAAAGCCTAGTCCCAGCCAGACCGTCAGATACAGCACCAGACGCTCCTGGCTCAGCCCTTCCATGATCCGCCGGTACAGCACGATCATGCACGCCTTGAGCGTCCAGGTCGTCAGAATCATCGCATGCTCGGCCACAAACACCCACTTGGCGCCCCGCGTGCGACGCTTCTTGCTCTCGGGCGTCAGATGGGCTATGTCCGCCGCCGTCACCAGGTTCGAGCCGCCCGAAAGGATGATTTCGTTGAGCGCGACGCACATCAGCGTAAAGAACACCACCACGCACAGGATAAGGTAGTCGTCCAGCTGCAGGTTGCGGATGCCCATCCGCCGGATCCTAGCTACACTACGGAGTACTCTCGTCAGCGACTTATCTATACATAAAAAGTCCATAAGTGAAGTGAGAAATACCTTCTGAGGAAAATAACTGCTATGCCAACGCCGTACAGGGTCCATGACTCCCGCTGAAAGTCTCGCGCGTACGCAGACGAGGTGTCCAGTCCCGCTTCCGGAGTAAACCCTTGGCCAGTCATCGATCTCTATCATTCTCGTCACATCACATATCTCGTGGCCAACAACAGTAACAACAACCATCAACCTTCAACATCAACTTCAACAGCAATATCCACAGGGCAGGCCAGGAGATATTTATTTCTCCGGAGAGTGTAGCAGAGTGGCGATCTATCTGCCGTCTAGATCGGACAGCACCGCGCAAAAAAGCAAGCCTGCGGCAGGACCCAGCCCCGGCAGCGCAAGCCGTGTGAGCCATCAGATGCCGTAGCGAGTGGTGTAGATTTGTGTTAGACTGTGGACAGAGTGTATATCTTGTCTGGGCTCTGGTCTATTGGCCTGGCAGAGGCTTTGGGGGTCGCCCTGGGGGGGTCCGCGCGGTGCGAGAAGTATAACCATGTGGATGGAGACGTGGATGGCGGTGGCGTCTCTGAAAGGGGGAGGGATGGGAGGGCGAGGAACTTGCATACGAGAACGATGTCTATCATTCTCTATCTCTGTCTCTGTCTCTGTCTCTCTCTCTCTCTCTGTCAGTCTTGTCTCTCTCGTCTCAGTTCAATAGTGGTTGTCATCCTGGTCGTCCTTTTGATAGTCAAAGATCTAAGATGGACTTAAGATGGACTTACGAGTACGGGGTAACTAAGGAGACGATGGAACTCATGCGATTGGCTGGATGGTTGACTTTACTGGCCAATGGGAATTCGCTATATCAACCAATAGGAATCCATCCTCCATCCCTTATCCATCTTCTTCTTCTTCTTCTTCACCTCCTGAATATCAACATCAACGCCGACATTATTATTCTATCTCTATCTACATACAGTACATCTGCCAGGTACTGTTCAGCCTCGTCCGGTTCGCAAGGTCGGCTGGGCTACCGGCCTCTTCCCAGCCCAGCTCCATGGCTCTGGCCACCGCCTGCCTTCCACTCACCACCACCACCACTAACCACCACCACGCTAACTAACAGGTACAAACTAACGACTCCGTACTAACTAACAGCCTCTTCCTCCACTTCCCACTTCCCGTCCATCCCACGGCTGCGCGTCCCGTCCCAGGCCTGTCGGTCCCAAGCTATCGACGGCCTCAACTTAATACCTCGAGAGCATGTGCGTACTTAGGTTAGCCTACAACCTTGTCGTGCCGTCCACCTCGCTGCTCCTTACTTATATCAAATAAGTTAGGTATTATGACAGGCACAGGAGACTAACTAATCAGCTCTTAACTTCTCCGTCCGGAGTATTCCGTATCTGCTTTACGTTCTTGGCTCGATGAGTGGCTTGCGGCGGTTTCACGTCAAGTCCAGACATGGCTGCGGCCAGTGCAAGAGGAGACGGGTCAAGGTGACTCTTTTTTTTTGACTCTCCTGCTTCTACCTGCTGGATAAGTAAATGGCCAGGTTAACTCATGCCGACCGTCTAGTGCGATGAGCGGCCTCCGAGATGCGCTGGCTGCGTCAAGAGGAACCTACAATGCGACTACCAGGAGATGCAGATGCAGCCGAGCCTAGAACTGCAGCAAGTCTCTAAGGCTCAGGAGATTCCACATCACACCAGCAGTCTAGTCTTCGACTTCCACCCCTTGACTCTCCTGGTCAGCCGCACTGACAATAATAATAATAATACTCACCAAACGAGTCCTCCTTATATCCCTGGTATCCACCAAAGTCTAACTCCCTATGTAGACCTTACGGGCCAGGACTCGCTCCTCCTGCACCACTACACCTCCATAACATGCCATACCCTCTTCCACCCCCTTGACCAAGGCCGGGCCTACATATGGCAGTCTCTCGTGCCCCAGCTGGCTCACATATACCCGTTTGTCATGCACAACATCCTCTCCCTCGCTGCAATGCACCTCGCCTCTCTCCAGCCTCATCTCCTCCACAAATACACCCTCCTCGCAGCCAGACACCAGTCCCACGTCATCAAGGCCGCCCAGGCCCGCGTAGCCAGTCAACAGGTCACCAGCCAGAACTGCAGTGCAGTCGTCATTTGCTCCAGTCTCCTACTCCTCTACGAGCTAGCCATCTTGCACCCGTCGTACTTTGTCTCGGAACGTGTGGTGTCTACCGCCTCGACTTCAACCTCTGCTGCAAAGCGGGTAGATGAGATCGTGCAGAAGATGCTGGTCATGCGTCATCTGGTCGGGCTCTGGAATATAAGTATGGCCTTGTTCAGCCAGGGCCCGGCTCGCTGCTTGCTCTCCACGGGAACGCTGGACGTTACCTCTCCGCTAGCCGTGGAGGTAAGATCCTCCCTAGATCGGGTGTTGTTGGCCACTACCACGCTGCATGTACCGGGTGCGGATGCATACGCTGCTGCAGTCGACTCGCTATGGCACTGCTTCAAGTGCTGTGTCTTGTCGACTCCGCCGGACTGGCTAAGGGCTCTGGCTTGGCCGAATATGGTTCCACGACTGTTCATGTCTGAGCTGCTCGAGAGGAAGCCTCTTGCTTTGGTCCTGGTGGCTCATTACTGTGCCCTGCTGGTGCTGCATCCGGGCAGTTGGTGGATGCACGGGTGGCCGCAGCCGGTGCTTTTGGCTCTGGTTGAAGCTGTCGGTGAAAGTGGACATGCTCACTGGAGAGATCTGTTTGCCTGGCCAGTGAAGGTTGTTACCAGCCATCAGCCTGACTGTGGTGAGTGAATGCAACCAGCAAGGTGACTTCCAAGCTGCTATTGAGCTGTGCCGTCAAACGGAGCATCATCAGCATACATAACGGCAAAGTTACCCCCTCTTGAACAGCCCTCCATAGAGCATGGTTGTCTACCTTGATTGGCTGTAGAGAGAGTCACTATATCATTGACCATTGCTTTAACTAGGCCATTCCTCCCAACCTGCGGGTGGGTTCGGCTAGTACAACTTAATGTCGACGGGCTAACGGGCAAAGAAAGTCCTACGGCGCGGCACCATTGTGGTTGAGTACAGCTACTCGACTCACAAGGCAACCCTACCAAGTCTGACGGGACTCATTGTCACACTAGCAACCACAACCACTCTCAGGCGATGGTATGAGAATAATACCTTTACTTCGCCACGGTACCTGGGAACGCACATCTACATGTTTCTAAGAAGAAGAAGAAGAACGGGAAGTATAGTTTCACAGCTTCCCAACCCCCGTTTGTAAAATAGCAAATGATCAGACTCAAATGTCAAGATCCCTTATTCGTATCCATATCCATGTCTCCCTCTACGACTCTAATGCAGTTGCCCCTCGCCTGGGTGCCCGCCGCTCGCCACTGCGCCCTCTTATTGTTGTATCCGGGTTTAACTCGTTGGTGGATACATGGGTAGCCGCAGCCGGTACGGCTCCTCGCTCTCCCGTCGGGCCGTTGTAAGTACCTTATTGGAAGTCAACCAGTGACCTGTGATAAGACTCGTTTGCACTTTTTCACTTCCGTATTGCGTGTATATACTGTATATATACACCGTGTATGTTGTATAAGCGTACTCCGTATAGAGAGAGGACCAATGCTGCGTCCCGCTCAGGGGTTATTCCGACCTCTCCGACTGTGCTGCAGCCTGGTCACCAACGGCTGCATGCATGAGGGGTCGGACTGCGTACGGGCGCTTAGAGACAAACGACGGCCGGAGGCATCAAAGAAGTATTAATAGGCTGCCTGCCCGCTGGATAAATACCTGGCCTGCCCGCCCCTTATTCGATCGCCGCGAGCCGGACTTCCTTCGCCCTGACAACTCTCGTCTCGCATGCCATAACTCCCTGGGAGAGCCAACGACACTGATCTACGCCGTGCCCTCCACACTCGTTCTCCCCCCGCGCGTATCTACCTAACTACCCAGCATCTACAACTACTATCACCTCTATCTACTACTACTACTACTACTACTTCTACAATCCACTACTACAGTTTCTGTGCTGTCCGACATGTCTTACGACAACGGCATCAGAGTCCACGGAAAAGGGGTGTACATGCTTCTCCGCAAAACCACGCCGTCCCCCGGAGACTCCCCGTACCATTGGGAGATCCTCATAGCCACCAGCGACAAGACCGGCACCGTCTTCCACCAGATATACAACCGCGACGCCGACGCGTGGGCGCTCTCCGTCGAGTCGTCCAAGAACATCACCACCGCCCCGGACCTGCTGTGCGCCCTGAAGCTGGGCGTCGTGGAGGACTGCTCGGGCACCTGGATGAGCGCCATCGAGGCCTGTGTGCGCCAGACAGAGGTCAAGGGCGAGTTCACCTGTCGCACCTGGGCGCTGGCAGCCGCCTTTGAGCTGGCGGACGGAGGCTTCATTGGCATGGAGCCCAGCTGGGAGCAGATCGCGAAAATAGAGGCTGAGGCAAAGGTGTTGGCGGGCGATGCGTGTTTCGGAGGCACGGCCAGGGTCGATACGAGCCTTGCCAGCAGGCCATGAAGGGGAGGGAGAAAGAACTAACTTGGTGAACTAACCAAGGGTGAATGTGAATTGTGAGCTGGGATTAATTGCGGCACAGCAAAGAGCGTAACAGGTGGCCCCTCCCATGGACGGGATACGTAACTGGTAACTGGTAACTGGGTAACTGAGTAACTATGGATGGATGGATTGGATGGATGGATGGGACGGTCTTTGGTTCTCCTGCTGTCAACTAGCTGTCTAGGTTACATGAGATATAAGCTTAATTAACTTAGAGCTTTTTCGACGGTGAAGCTTCGTCCCGATAAGTGTTTGTCATTAGTTAGAGCAAAGAGATAGTTAAGTTAACTAGTTACTTCTTGACTGGCCATGTCGCTGTCGAGAGTCAGCTAGTTAACTGCCTGTGTCTATCCCAGAGTATCGACCTCGACCCAGCACAGGATACGCCGCACGCAGCATCCCAGCTGTACGCCGGATGCGCTGTTTGCGTCGTCCCATCAGGCAGCCACTGATTGCCTGCTTAGTTATTGCATCATCCTTGTCACTAAGAGACTAGTTAAGGAGCTAGTTGACCAGTGAGTGAGCTAACTTAGCTTGGGCCGGTGGCTTGACGTGGAGCCCCGAGGTATATTTATATATCTGTAGCATCCACAACAACCTCCGCTGGGCCATCAAATAACTTCCAAATATTCCGTACCCCTAATACCAAATACCCTATGATATCCAGACTCAACTATACAATAAGTTAAATACTCAGGGGCAACTCAAAATGCCAGACCAACCGCCAGCGTATGTAGAGAAGATCCCCCAGACGAGTCCGTCGTCGTGACCAAAGCCGAAGAGCATCCCCATGGCCCCTCGATTGCGCTGGCCTCGCTGTCGTCAAACCATCAGGGGCTTTCCGAGGCACAACAGCGCCTACTTCGGCGGCTATAGCATCCAGTAGTTAAGCAGGAACCGCCCGGCGTTTAGTTACTTCCCGCGGGTCCTACGCGCTTGCCGCCTTAACGCGCTCTCCTTTAACCTCATATTCCTCCCTCTTCTTCACAGCCACAGGAAGGACCACATCCACCACCGCAAGCAGACACTTAGACGGTTGAACATGTTCCCTCTACTGGGAGAATCCTCCACCGGGAGAATAAGCCCGGAGATATAAGGGCGTTGATAATAAATGAATGACAAGAAAACCTGTCCTTGTGCCATGGCAGTCAGTCAAGATTCAACAACTCATCACTGTGCATATGGGAGAGCTAGCAAGCATGCTATAGTTCTGATAACGCTGACCAGGCCTCTCATGGAGCGTGGTGGAGCGTTGAAAGAGGTAAACCCTCCCCAGCTTAAGCCCAAGACCAAGTCTCAAAGCTAATTGTGTATTTGGCTCTCCGCTCCGTCTGCCGGTTTTACAAGAGGTTGGATAAGCCTTCGAGCGGCTTGCATGCAACGCACAATCTATGTCGAGACTGTTGCCGGTCCGTCTTCCTCCTCCAGCCACGACAGCATCCAAGGAAATGGAGGCTGGGTCTCCTACGCCAACCACACTCAGAAGGAGCCCGAGTGAAAAGAGTCTTCCCCAATGAAAGTCATGCTGCTTTTTGTTTCCGCTCTTTTTATTGCTTGGGTATCCCGACTGTAATAGTAGTGGATTGAATAGGCTAATACCACGATATCCTTTTTGTATGAAGCATACCTAGGGTCAATCGCTACACAAAGTTGTAGGAACAACCCAAGTCTCATCAACTAGATATATACCTGCGAAAGAGGTATTGATATTTCTCAGTAAGTCAGTAGCGGCCATCCTCAAGTTAGGGGAGAGACGTTGGCGGCCTACGGGAGTGCAAATGATCTTTTCAGCTTCCAACTCCTTGCTGTAGTTACTTAATTCTTATCAAATGCTAGACAGGGACTCCGTTTCTGCTGCCTGTCCAGCCTAGGGACCAAACTGCCGGGTTAGGCCCCCAATCCCAGTATAATATGAAGTTTTCATGCCCTCGCACTTCCTTCACTATACTTATAAACACTCTCTTCGCCCGTACCTAACTATATCTATAGTTTTGATTATCTATAACAGGCCACAAATACAGCGACATCAACTGGCTGCGATAACAACACGATTCTTCCCTGCATCCAAGTCTACTTCTACTTCTCCTGCACGTACAACAAACCGACCCCGCCATTCTTCCATCCTCACATACACGAAAGATGTCCTACGACAACGGCGCAAGGGTGGAGAGGAAAGGAGCGTACATGCTTCTTTGGTCGACTTCTGCTGAGTTCCTATACCACTGGGGTATATTGATTGCTACGAGCGAGACTGGGGGCACGCTTTTTCATCAGACTTACAACAAAGAGATGTGGAACCTAGCCGTGGAGATCAGAAATATCACCAGGTCCCGAAGCCTTCTCTGTGCCTTGAAGTTGGGCGATGTCGAAGACTGCTCCGGTACCTGGATGAATGCTATTGAGGCATGTTTGCGTCAAACTAAAGTGGAGGGCGACTTTACCTGTCGCACCTGGGCGTTAGCTGCGGCCTTTGAATTAGCGGATGGAGGCTTTATTGGCATGGAGCCCTCATGGGATAGGATTGGTAAGATAGAGACAGAAGCGAAGTTTTTGGCTGGTGATTCATGGCAATCTGGAACAGTACATGTTGAGGCCAGCGCGCAAAAACGTGCTTGATGTGCCAGTGTTGGCGGATATTGCAGAGTTAAAGAGGCTCATTATTTCCTTCCGAGAGAAACTCGTACCCTCTCTTTGGCGTTTGGATAAACTAGGAGATAGCATTATAACCTTACTGTCTTGACTACCCGTGCTTCTAAATAAAGTAGACATTCCGTTCAGATCGATAAAATAAATTAAAATAAATAAGAAACAAATTAGAAACAAGTAAGGGCAAGAGCAAGGGCAAGTGTAAAAAGGGAAGAAAGGTACCAAGAAGTCACTACCGGCGTTAAGGATAATTTAGATCAGTAAACTGGATTTTTACTCCAAATTAGCCGCTCAGCCTCTAGCTCTTCCTCGTAGTTTTCAACAAAGGCCAGGCGGTAATTCTGTTCCCTCTGCCTGTCGGCCATAAACGACCACACTGCCCGAGTAAACTCCCAGTATTCCGGCTTGAAAGATGCACACTCCCAGTCCACAATACCGCACAGGCGTCCCTTGTGAATAAACAGGTTCGAGTAATGCAAGTCTGAATGAGTAAAGAAAATCCGATGGTGTTTCTTGTACAGAGCTGAGAGGGGAGGTTGATCCCTAAGGTCTTCAAGGCCTTCAGTGAGCATATTGGTAAATTCATCCTTTGTTCGGTAAGGGCCCCATACATCGCCTGTGTCTGTCCGGTGGTCATACGTAGGTCCCCCCAGGGTATTGCAAATAAGGTAAGGGGAGGTGTTTCTGATCTGACGGTACTGTAGGATATGGTCCTTTAAATCCTTTGTAAGCTGGGCACGTTCTTCGTATGTCATTCGATAATAAACAGCATCCACAGGAACGCCCGGGATCCTTGACATGAGAAGATATCCGTCTCCTAGCCCATCTTTGGCAAAACCAATTAGCTGTGGCGCAGGGACCTGTGTGTGTCGTTCAACCAGACGGAGAGCGTTGGCTTCATTCGCCATGACTCTGGGTCCGATCTTCAAGCATAGTCCAAAGGGTAGATATCTAAGAGACTTGTTATAAGGGGAGCTCCATCGATCTTGAGCCCAAACGATAAGCTTCATCATCCTTAGCCGAAGGAAATGTGGAAGCATAGAAAACAGTGCTCGGAGTATCCGTCCGCGGAAGCTCCTACAAGGACCGGTATCTAAGGAAGGAAGTAAGTATCGTGTATATATGGACGGAAGTACCTGTCAAAGCTCACACTCGCCCTCAATTTCCCACCCGGCTTGGATTTGCTTTTCAACATCCAGGTAGTATAGAAACTCAGAAACATGGTGATGGACCTCGAGCAGAATGCCCTCTGGCAGAGGAAGTTTGGTATCATCCGGAGTTGATGGCATCGAGGAGAATTTGCAGTTCCTCGCTACACCGAGTACGTCGAAATTTCCAGGCCTGGTTTTCCGTAGCAGCCACTACACAACCTATAAGACTGTGCTGGCCCTAGCAGACAGGAGAGAACTGGCATTACTTACATACAGGCTTTTGGGATCAGAATCATTCTTATGTATTGAGATACGTCCCTCTTGGAATGCAGCGGCAACAGCTGGGCTCATCAGCCATAAGTTTTTCAAGTTGTCGCTAACACTCTCGCTGGATGTCAGGAAGGAGAAGAGTTTATCAGAGACTTCCGGGGATACACATATGTCTAAGATTTCCCGTAACCGAGTCTATACGCCATTATGAGACGGGCCCTGAAGGGTATAAAGGAATAAACGTACGCCGCGTATGAGGTCATCATCGTGTATGACTGAAGGTGACACTATATGGATAGGTCGGAGGCCCTGAGACTCGCCCGAGATGTGGCAAATGCCATTTTGGCGTTCTTTTACGGCAGATATCGCATTAGAAGATATGGGGGTGCTTCGGGAGACTTTTGAAGGAGTTAGGTTAGGAAGTTCTGTAAAGCAAGGTATGAAATCGGAGCTAGATAATCGTACATTTTTGTGCTAGAGACCGCATATCATCTATGATAGAGCGCAAATATTCCTCCCTCGAGTCATCTGGACCCAGATTTGCAAGCTTATCTAGAAGAAACTGGCCTGCTTTATTCCGATCAAATGAATGGTTGAGGAAGAAGAACAACTGCAGGTGCTCCCAGGCAGACAGTTGGGTAGAGTAAACTGCTTCTCTAGCTGTCCAAAACGGATCATCATCACGTTTCATCATGATCAGTATCCTATTCAATCTGAGGTAGCTATCAACGCAAAATGGTGATTTAAAGGGGGTTCGGCCCCGGTACACCGTATGCTGTGCCAATTGATCAGAATGTGATGTTGATGGCTTTTAGTCGCTGCTTGCCTCTGATTGGCGGTTCCTACCACATCACGTGGAATATACTTCTCTCGCGTTTATTAGTCATCCCTCAATATGGTAGTCTGTTTAAGCGATTTAAGCGCCGCACTTTCCCTTTTTAGCAGGAGCAAACATGTTCGACAACCCCAGAAAGATGAACATCGAACATCGAACATCGACTCACTCCGCGTATTCGAGACAGACCGATCTATTGTTATATTACACTTGACAGCTCTTTACCCTTCGGAAATTATAGCGTACACAAGTATATGGCTTTTCTTATTCTTCGGAATTGACGGGATTCGTCCTCGCAAAGCGAGGGGCGCTGGATCGGTAACACTAGTCTCAGTGGCTATTCGCTCGAGCTGAAGCACAACTATTATGCCGGAGGGAACTGACTATGCAGTAACACTCGCTAGGCAAACAAAGTAACGATGCGCTGCCTCCATGAACTCGACATGATGGCTTTGTACTACCCGGCCTGCTCTTTGTTTTCCGCCATGCCTGCGTTACTCAAAACGCTGGCATCAACCACCTGCTTCCCCTATGGGCATAGCCTTGCGGCGTGGTGAGAACTATCTTCAGAGCATAAATACCTGTTGTCTATTGCCTTGGTGTGATGGTTTATTTGCTTCTCTGAAGCTCAACCACTCAACTACCCAGAAGCCGTCTCACAACTACTGCTCCCCATCGCATTTGTCATTGCTTCCAGAAGGAACAACAGAAAGGTGCAAATGTACGTGTGTTGCTTTCCAGGTGACGGTATTTCGGGATCACCACCGATGTTGTAAGTGAAATTGCCTCTTCTTGGATATTCGACACGTACAAGCCGTTGACCGTGCGTGTTAACTATATAGCACACCATTGCCCATACTCGTCTCCTTGTCTAGAACGACTCTCTATACTGCGAAACCACCACCAAAGAAGGAGATCAAAGAGCCGCGACCCACACGTGCCGTCCGCGGGGAGACTAAAACAACGAGGCTGAAACAATCGGTGCAAAATATTTTTAAATGGAAAGGCGTTAAGGCACTCCCGCGCCGGCGACATGCTTATCAAAGATTGGGTTGAGGCTTAGGCGACGATCCCCCTCCTACGTTCCCGAAAATGACACCGTTGAACGGCTCTCTAACTTGGAATACACTACGTCCCTTAAAACTTTTATTTATGTATCGATACTAATAACACTTATTTGACAAACTGCAACCCATGATGCAAAGACAAGAAGTAACTGATCCAATTTGATATTGTCTTAATACAGCGAAGCGGAAAAAAAATGTTGGAAGGAAGCGTCCAGCACCTCCTGGCAAGTATGTAACATACAAGTCATGGGAATGGAAAACAGGATTGCTTGGTACCTCCGGCGGAAAAAACCTTTATACCCTGGCTCTAGTCTGGCTATTTTCAAGCTGATAAGGCATAGAGATATGTAAGTATTTGTGCGGCTATGCGCCACATTTATCCATTGGAGAAGGAAGCTCTAGTGGATAGGCGCCGTCACCCTTGGCGACATCAGGTCCTGGGTTGGGATATTTCACCTCTGCATTTGTTCGTGGGGTCATGCAGCCATTATCGGTGTTAGCGACGAGGAAATCTGGGAGTTGGTCGAAAGGGACGCTTGAGGACTTGTCATCGTCGGGAGTTGGGCGAGCACTGCTGCCACGAGGAACGAAGGCTCGAGGTTGTGAAGTGTTGCCTCCATTTCCAGATTCCGTAATGGTCACGGAAGCGCAGGTCATGAAAAATTCCTGCTCGCGGTTGAACCAAGTCCAGGCAAATACGTGGTCACCAGTAGGCATGTCGCTAGGGATCTTGAAATCGAAGGTTTGTTCCTCCGGGTTTTGGTTAGAGCCCTCGCGGTGGGGGCAGTTTCCTTCGTAGCTTCTCACAACTCTCCAAGTTTTGCCTTGGTCAGTACTGAAGCCGGCTTGACATGATCCTCCCCAATGCGTTCCTCTTCCAGTAAGGCTGAAACTCTGGGACGAACCGGCTTCCCAGCTGACGACGGGGCGGCCTTGATCGGTGCCGAGGAGGTCTAGGTATCCTCTGCAGGGATAAACTGTCTTTCTTCCACAGCAATTGTAGGGGTTGTCGAGGTAGGGGTCAACAGGGTCAGTGCGATGAGGATTGTTCTCTGCACCGAACGTAGGAGGATAATGGAGCATCATATGCGCCGTAGCAGAGGTAGCAAGGAGGCCAACCAGGGCAACAGTATTCATGATGGACATCATATTGTTTTTGAAAGGAATGTAAAAGAAAGGTAGAAGATTTGAACGTCAAGTTCTCAAAGAGCTACCAGGCTGCGAAAGAAGTATGAGAGAAAAATGAGAGAATGAATGAAAGCTCAAAAATCGCAGAGTCAACCTGCAGAGTTTTTGAGTAAAGAAGGTAACAGAGAAGGGAAAGAAAGAAAGAAAGGTATAATTGCAGTGAGAAGAGAAAGAATGGGACGTATGTGCCATTCGGTGGGGAGGAGGATGAATATATAGATGCGCCATTTTGGTCGATATCCATTAGATATCTACGGGCGAGACGGATGCCGCGCAATCGAAGCCCACAGATAGTTGAACGAACATGCCTAGGACTTGAATCCGGCTCGTGCCTTTCCCCGCTAGAAAGATGAAACGGAAGAGCGGCTAGGCCGTGCTAAAATGCCACTGTGGGTTAATCACGGTGGGAAGTGCCCGCCGGCTGCTGCACGCTATGCACGTCGCTTTGGCGCCACACCC